GAACCCCTTAGCCACAAGCCTTGACTTGTAGCGGGTCAGCTCCCCCATCAGGTCCATACTTGTGCCTGAAAATAAGCTTCGAAGAGATTGCCTTCTTCCCTGGAGGCAGCTCACACAACTCCCATGTTCTCGTTCTCCAGCAGTGAGTCGTACTCCTCCTCACACTCTGCTTCCACTTCTCAGCATCGGGCCCACTAAAGGCTCGGTAAGTGTCTGGGCTCAGGGCGGCTGCCAAGTAGCAGTGCGCTATCTCCTCCTCATCACACTGCTCAGGCTCACTCCCAGCTCGCACCTTCTTTGGCTTCCCAAAGCTCGGATAGGTAAGGCGGTTAGGAGGACGCACATCCCTCCTAGGACGGTTCAGCCGAACGTGCGGCACTTTGTGGGCACTTGCTGCTGCTGTGCGGCTGCTGCTACTGCTGCTGCTGCTCCACCACCTAAGGTTCTTCCCCATCCTCAGTCAACTCCAGAGATCTCTTCTCGGAGACAGAAAACCTCACCTGCCTCGAAGGCCGCTGCACCTCATTGGCCTCAATGATCAGTGGTTGTAGTGGGAAGCTTCTGCTGCTGTGGCTCCACTCCTTGTAGTACAAGGACTCAAGGAACTTCACATCCCGACACAGTCAGCTGCTGGCTGGTCAAGACCCATATCAACAGCCCTTTTGATCCTTAGCAAGCCCCAAGTGCACACCCCATCTCCCAGGAAGCCTCCAACTTTCCCCTCGTCTCTTTCGGCACATGAACACCACCATGCAGCCGTAGGCTCTCAGCATGTTGACTGCTGGTGCACTCCCAACCACTTGGTGTAGGGGATCCACTGCTTGTCCCCCATAGTCGCCAGCACCCTGTTCTTCACAACGACGGGACCTGCCTCAGTGCAGTCACCCAAAACGGATCGGAGCCTGCACGCCCAAGGAGAGTGCGAGCACCTTCCTGCAGGATACGGTTGAATCGCTCAGCCACGCCATTCGCTGCGGGTTGTAGTGGCACTGTAAGTTGATGCTGAATCCCCTTCTTCTTCAGCAGGGCCTCAAAATCAGCACCAATGAACTCTCCCCCGTTGTCGGTGCGGATCACCTTCACCTTGTGTCGCTCTCCCTTTGAGCTATCGACATCCAATCCTTAAGAACAGCGCTGCACCTCCCCCTTAGTCTTGAGAGGGTAGACCCACACCGCAATCGTAGTGGCACCTGTGCAAGGTCCACGGGGGGGAGGGCGGGAGAGAGAGGAGGACGAGAGGAGAAGAGGAAATGCGGGTCAGGGGAGGTGCTATGAGGGGCAGGGCAGGGGGGTGATGATAGCAGCAAGCACTGCAATAAGAGCCGCAGCATAAGCAAGCAAAGCTCATTCCCCCCCACCTCCATGCGCATTTCCCCCCTGCACCGCACACCACCCCACCCCACCCAACACACTCACCATGTCGTGGCGGCAGTTGGTGAGCTCGATGGAGGTGGCGACTCCCTCCCCCGCCATCTCCCTGACATGGCGGAACGGACGGCACGAGCAAACGGGGCAAAGCATGGGCAAAGGGGGCAACGCATGAGCAGAGGGGGAAAGGCATGGGCAGGGAGAACGGCATGAGCAGAGGGGGAAAGGCATGGGCAGGGAGAACGGCATGAGCAGAGGGGGAAAGGCATGCGCAAGGCGGGAATGCATGGGAAAGGCGGAAAGGCATGCGCAAGGCGGCAAAGGCCATGCGCAAGGCGGAAAGGCATGCGCAAGGCGGAAAGGCATGGGGAAGGCGGAAAGGCATGGGGAAGGCGGAAATGCATGGGCAAGGCGGAAAGGCAGGGGAAAGGCGGACATGCATGCGCAAGGCGGAAAGGCATGGGAAAAGGGGGGGAACGGCGCGCTGACCTGCTCCGCGTGCAGCATGCTCGCCGGTGCTGTCCGCGCGGCCAGCAGCGCGCGCGGCGCTACCTGGTGAGCGCGGTGGGCGCCGTCACGGCGGGTGGAGCGGCGGCGGGTAGGCGCTGCTACGCTGGAGCCTGTCGTCCCTGCACAGCAAGGGGAGGGAGGGGCAGAGGGAGAGCGGAGGAAGGGACGGAGGGAGAGAGCAACGAGAAACCAAGAAAGGCAAGAGGGGTTGAGGACTGAAGTGAACTGTTTGGAAAGAATGCTCACGTAGGAGAGAAATGGGAAACATAACGGGAATTCCAGGGAGAAAACAGATAAAGAGGACAAAACGAAATAAAGTAATAAAACAGTAGAACAAAACGGATTTTGCATGGCGCATGGCACACATGCAGTCGCATGGCGCACATGCAATCGCGTGCTCATGAAATTTCAGCGTGCGCACATGCAGTGACAGTGCGCACCTGCTGGAGGGAGGAATAAGGGCCCTCCCACAGTGCGGGAGGGATCCGCCGCCTATGTTGAATCCCATGGGGGAAGGAATTCGAAGTCTAACGTGGGGAAGGCATTTAAGACCACTGATCGAGATGGGAGAGAAGGAATGGAGATCGGGAGAGCGGAAAAACGGAGACTAACGTGGGAGACGAAATTAGGAGATGAGCTGCGACCGATATGGGAGAGAATGAGTGGATCGGGAGAGCGGAGCTATGGAAAGTAACGTGGAAAATAATGGAGTTGAGATCGAAATGGGATGGGGATGGGATTGGGAGAGAAGCAAGGAAGGAGGAGTGGAGGAGATCGGGAGAGGAGTTGGAGAGGAGAGCAAGCAAGCAGATTTTGTTGACTCTCGCCACTGTAGCGCGAAATGACCAGCACCCTCGCCTCGGTCACCAAAACAGAAACGAATTGCAACTCTTCATACAAAAAAGGAACACTCCTCACCCTGGAACATGTAAACCTAAAACGAAAATAAGAGTGTACACCTAGAATCCACCTGCCCTGCACCAAAAAAACGATGGTGGGGACCAAATCTCAGAATTCACACACATTGCAAACCAAGTCGCGGAGCACAACACAAGCCTCCAATCCAAATCAAGTCGCTAAACACAAGTCGCGAAACATCCCACCGGTCCAATCAAACAGCACAAGCCATGCCAGCTAGCGCGGTCTGGGAAGTGACAGAAACGAGACTCGGATGATGTACAATCCAATATACAGTCATTGGTGCAGCGCTGGCGCGCTGCGCGATCCGCCTGGTGCCTGCAAACTTACTTTCTTATCAATCTATTCCCATGTACATGGGAATAGATTGATAAGAATGTAAGTTTGCATTTTCCTGGTTTATGTTTTCCTTCACGATGCATGCATTGTTATAAGCAAATATTCCAGAAAACAAGTGGGCTGACCCTGGTGTTGGTTGGTACATCTGCAGCAAAATCTTAGGCTAGCTAGTTCCTAGCTACCTATTTTTTAGCTATCTATTTGCTAGCTACCTAATTCCTGGCTAGTTATAGCCTGGCCTTGCCAATTCCTAGCTAGCCAATTTCTGGCCTGCCAACTCCTTGCTAACTCCTAGCCAATTCCTAGCTTGCTATTTCCTAGCTAGTAGCTAGTTAATTCCTAGCCAGCCAAATCATAGCTGGTAACTAGTTCCTAGCCAGCCACATCCTAGCAAGCTAATCCCTAGCTAGCTGCCGTAATTCCTAGTCAACCAAATCCTAACTACCGTAGCTAATTTGTAGATAGTTTACTACTCCTGGCTAACCTACGAGAAAGGGGCATCTGCGAGGGCGTGTTCCGGCTTCGTCTGTACGCGGTAAACACGATTGGATGTATCAGGGATGTGTCAGGAAGATGCTTCCTTGTGTCACACTCATTGTGGAGTTGATGAAAAGACTGACGTTGCAGATAATGACACCATCTCAAATCGACACGCAACAGGGCCTGGCCTGCAATCGTGCCAACCAAGCGATGGCCCGATACAAACACAGAGACTCAAAAGCTTGAAGCAATCTAATTCAGTAACGCACCACTCCATGCGCTTGACATTGATGTCATTCAACACAGAAACCTTGGTCGTCACGATGCAAGTGTGTAACACTCTATCATGCAGTTGCTTGAACCTAGTTTCACATCAACACGAAGCCACAAGGTACTTTATACGATACCTTGTGCACACCGATGCTGCTCTACTCTAAATATCCAGCCTCAGCATTCACCTAGGAGGCGGAATCCCTCCACCACCCGCACTGATATCATCCAGCTCAATCGTCCTATACTTCTGCGAAACCAGCTCCGCCTGCACCTTCCTGGCTGTATCGGTAGCGCATCCGACTAAAATGAGGATGGACGTTCCAGCAAACCCCCGGAAGGCCGTGAGGTGAGTGATTCCTTCCACAAGAGCCGGCGCTGCTGCCATCGTGCCGAGAAACGCCGACCCGAGCACCGAAATGCGGGTGAGGACCTGGTGTTAAGTAGTTAAAGAAGCAAGAGTAATGGGGAGAAAGGGAGAAGGGGATGGGAGGGGGAAGGAGAAGCCAAAGAGGGAAAGGAAACACGAGTGGGGAAAGGGCTGAGAGGGAGCCGGCCAGGAGTCATCATGGAGTGTTTGCGAGGCCAAACGGAGCTTGGTGATGAGCATGGCTGCTGCCTTGCCAGGCCTGGTGTAGGCCACAGACGCGCCCTGCCTCTTGAGAAAGTGGGCCGTATGCCGGATTTACGAACGTACAATGAGTGAACAAGGGCGACTCACCTTGGTGATGAGTGCGGCTGTTGCTTTGCCGGGCCTCGTGTTGGGTACGGACGCACCCTGCCTCTTGAGCTGGTCGCTGACATCAGCAGGGTCGAGTTGCAGGAAGGTGTAGAAGTAGTTGAAGAAGGCAATGAGTGCCACGTTGGCGGGGAGGTAGAAGAAACCTGGGGATTAGCGGAACACATGGGGAGAGAGGATGTTGATTGAAGATGCAAGGAGAAAGAAAGGAGAAGGAGCGAGTAAGTGAGTTGCAGGAAGGTGTAGAAGTAGTTGAGAAAGGCGAACAGTGCCACGTTAGCAGGCAGATAGAAGAAACCTGGAGATTAGCGGAACACATGGGGAGAGAGGATGTTGATTGAAGATGCAAGGAGAAAGAAAGGAGAAGGAGCGAGTAAGTGAGTTGCAGGAAGGTGTGGAAGTAGTTGAGAAAGGCGAACAGTGCCACGTTAGCAGGCAGATAGAAGAAACCTGGAGATTAGCGGAACACATGGGGAGAGAGGATGTTGATTGAAGATGCAAGGAGAAAGAAAGGAGAAGGAGCGAGTAAGTGAGTTGCAGGAAGGTGTGGAAGTAGTTGAAGAATGCAATCAGTGCCACGTTGGCGGGGAGGTAGAAGAAACCTGGGGATGAGTGGAGCAGGGAAATCAAAGGGAGTGGAGGAGGGAGAGGGAGCAGGGAGAGGAGTGAGTGAGTTGCAGGAAGGTGTAGAAGTAGTTGAAGAATGCGATGAGTGCCACGTTGGCAGGCGGGTAGAGGAGACCTGGGGATTAGTGGAACACATGGTGGTAAAAAGAGTGAGAGGATGACGGAAAAGCAGAGTGATAAATTTGCAGTAAGGTGTAGAAGTAGTTGAAGAAAGCGATCAGTGCCACGTTGGCAGGCAGATAGATCGGTAAAGCGAGCTATGGAGTAGGGAGCAGGAGCAGTCTGGTTACCCTATTACTGACCTGTGGTTACCATGTAACATACCTCCAGGGTAGAGAGCTGTAGCAGCGGACTGGAAAGCAGCACTTCCGGTAAAGCGAGCGATGGAGTAGGGAGCAGCGAGGAGCGAGGAAGAGAAGATAATTGGCATGACTCCCGTTGAGTTGACCTGCAGAGGGGGGAAGAGGAAGAGACGGGTAGAGGGTAGATGAGAAAGATGTTGATCCGAGAGGGTGGAACATAAGAAAGACGAAGGAGAGAGGAGGAGAAGACGATTGGCATGACTTTCGTTGAGTTGACCTGCGGGGGGGATTAGAGGTTGGATAAGAGAAAAGAGGTGGTTGTGAGAGAGGGGTGGTTGGAGAGAATGGGTAGATGAGAGAGAAAGGAACGGCAGATAATTGAGAAGAGAGGAGTAAACGTGAGGCATGGCTTCTGTTGAGTTGAGTGTGGGGGTTGGTGGGGGGGGGGGGGGGGAAGGGTGAGTGAGTGAGGGGTCGATGCAAGAAAAAGAAAGCGGTGTGTTACATTCGCGGGAGAGATGCTACCTTCGAGGGGGAGGTGTTACCTTCCAGGGGGAGGTGCTGCCTTTCAGGGGGAGGTGTAACCTTCCAGAGGGAGGTGCTGCCTTTCAGGGGGAGGTGTTGCCTTTCAGGGGGAGGTGTTACCTTGAATGGCAGGTACGCATTCCGCGTCTTGATGTTGTACCGAGACGCATAGTTGATTGGAATACGCCGCTCTGCCTCCTGCTCGGTGGAAGGGATTAAGTTGTGGTGGTGGTGGGGGTGGTGGGGGTGGTAGGGGGAGTGGGAAGAACGGAGAAAAGAGGACGGGGAATTTGAATTGGTTGTATCGAGACACATAGTTGACGGGAATACGCCGCTCTGCTTCCTGCTTGGAGGGAAAGGGGTAGTGGATAGGGTAGAGGGTGGGAGGGGAAGGGGAGGAGAGGGTAGAAAGAGAGTAGAGGGTGAGATGGTGCATGGGGTTGGTTGTACCGTTATGCGTAGTTGATGGGGATGTGACACTCTGCCTCCTACTCGGAGGGAAGGGGGAAGTTGGAGCTGGTTGTAGCGGCACATAGTTGTTGGGAATGCGACTCCCCGCCTTCTGCTCAGAAGGCTGGCAGGCAGGCCGGCAGAGAGGCATAGAGCAGGAACCCACCTGCACCCATTCACACCCACCTGCACGTAGACAATCCCAAGGACGAGCAGCAGGAAGGAGGCCAGCAGCAGCGCCTCGCCGGTAACGTTCCCCTGCTCAGACGCCTCTGTGATGCAGGTAGGCAGGCAGGAGGAATATAGCACACCCATCCACACCCATCTGTACCGCACCCACCTGCACGTAGACGATGCCGAACACGAGCAGCAGGAAGGACGCGAGCAGCAGCGCCTCTCCGGTCACATTCCCTTGTTCAGAAGCCTCTGTGATCGTCCTCCCAATGGACGCCGGCAGGTAGGAAACGATATTGGTGAAGATGAGCAGAGAGGTGCCGTTGCCGAGCTTGAGATCAGTGATCTTGTCTCCCAGCAGGATGACTGCCACGGATCCCAAAGTGAGGCCCGAGACGGCGGAGACTGCCCAGGCGACCGACGGGTCGTAGGCGTACTGCTGTAGATATGCCACCTGTCCGATAGCCTGGGAGGAGGGCGAGAGGCAGGGAGGAAGGGAGAGCTTGAGGTGGGTGATCCTGTCTCCCAGGAGGATGACTGCCACGGATCCGACAGTCAGGCCTGAGACGGCTGAGACTGCCCAGGCGACCGAGGGGTCGTAGGCGTACTGCTGCAGATATGCCACCTGTCCGATTGCCTGGGAGGAGGGCGAGAGGCAGGGAGGAAGGGAGAGCTTGAGGTGGGTGATCCTGTCTCCCAGGAGGATGACTGCCACGGATCCGACAGTCAGGCCTGAGACGGCTGAGACTGCCCAAGCGACTGATGGGTCGTATGCGTACTGCTGCAGGTAGGCCACTTGGCCGATAGCCTGGGGAGTGGAGGGGGGCAGGGAGAAGGAGAGCTTGAGGTGGGTCGGTGATCTTGTCTCCCCGCAGTGGGGCGACTGAGGGGTCGTATGCGTACAACTGGAGGTAGGCCACTTGGCCTATGGCCTGGGGAGTGGAGGGGGAAGAATAGGGTGGGAAGCGGTGGGGTTGGGTTGAGGAGGGGCGACTGAGTGGTCGTATGCGTACTGCTGGAGGTAGGCCACTTGGCCGATAGCCTGTTGGCAGTGGAGGGGGGCAGGGAGAAGGAGAGCTTGAGGTGGGTCGGTGATCTTGTCTCCCCGCACGATGACTGCTACGGACCCGAGGCGCTCGTAATCTAGTAAAGACAAGAAGAATGTAATGAAATCAGGTAACGTACCTGCAGGGCACCGAACGCCACAGCCATATACTTCATGTACTGCTGCGCTTTCTTCCTCCCCGCCTCCCCCTCCTTCTTCTGCAGATCCCCAATCTTAGGGTACAGCGTCCCCAGCAGCTGGAACACGATCTGAGCGTTGATATACGGCACGATGCCCAGCGAAAACAATCCCAGCCGTCCAATCCCGCCCCCTGAGAGCGTGTCTAGGGTGGCCAGGAATGAGCCCTCCCCCAGTTGCTCCTGGAAGGCGGAGATATCGACGCCCCACAGGGGAATGTAGATTCCCACGCGGGATAGCGCGAGCAGACCCAGGAGCATGAGGAATTTCTTGGGTAAATCGCCCTTGAAAAAGTCGCCGATGTCGATCTTGCTGTCCTCCACTGGAAAGGTGGTGCGGGTCAGGTCAGGGGAGAGGTGGAAACGGGAGGCAGAGGGGGGAGAAAGAGGAGGGAGAACAAGGCAGAGAAAGGCAGAGAGATATAGTGGGAAGGCGGGGAGGAGGGATGAGGGAGAGATTGAAGCAGGGGAGGAAAAAAGGAAGAGGGAATTCGGTTTAGTCTTTTTTTTTTCCCTCGCCCCCCCAAGTCCCCCAAGTCCCCCCCCCCCTCCCCCCCACCCGGGGGGGGATGGAGGGTGGGGGAGAGGGGACAGGGGGGACGGGAGGGTGGGAGGAAAGGAATAACATTCTGATGTATGTATTGAAATAATATCACAATCAAGAATCACGGAATATTCTCTCAAATTCAAGCTAGAATCAGCCAACCAGGCTTTGTGACTGTGACTGTAATGAAGGTGGCTGTAATGAAGGCGACTCGACCCGGGGGTTACTGCAATGAAGGCGACTCGACTCGGGGGTGACTGCAATGAAGGCGACTCGACTCGGGGGTGACTGCAATGAAGGCGACTCGACTCGGGGGTGACTGCAATGAAGGCGACTCGACTCGGGGGTGACTGTAATGAATGCGACTCGACCCGGGATTGACTGTAATGAAGGCGACTCGACTCGCGGTCGGCGTGACTATAACCAAGTTCAGGGCGGCATGGCCAGCCTCCTGTCAAGAGAGCATGCCACGTCAGCACTTGTTGCCACGTCAGCAGGACCTGGGTTGAGGTAGGGCCTGGGTCCGGTTCGGGTATGGGCTGCCTCACGTCTCTGCCCCGGGCCTCACGTCTCTGCCCCGGGCCTCACATCTCTGCCCCGGGCCTCACGTCTCTGCCCCGGGCCTCACATCTCTGCCCCGGGCCTCACATCTCTGCCCCGGGCCTCACGTCTCTGCCCCGGGCCTCACGTCTCTGCCCCGGGCCTCACATCTCTGCCCCGGGCCTCACATCTCTGCCCCGGGCCTCACATCTCTGCCCCGGGCCTCACATCTCTGCCCCGGGCCTCAATACCTACCATAACCAACAAACACCACCTAACATTATCTACCACAGAAACATAACATAATCCTAAACAGCACCTAAGTAAGTTTGATGCATTTTTTGTGAACATTTCTAGACATTACTACGGTACGGGGAATCTTTATCGCACCTGCAATTCGTAGTGGCACCTGTGCAAGGTCCACGGGGGGGAGGGGCGGGAGAGAGAGGAGGACGAGAGGAGAAGAGGAAATGCGGGTCAGGGGAGGTGCTATGAGGGGCAGGGCAGGGGGGTGATGATAGCAGCAAGCACTGCAATAAGAGCCGCAGCATAAGCAAGCAAAGCTCATTCCCCCCCACCTCCATGCGCATTTCCCCCCTGCACCGCACACCACCCCACCCCACCCAACACACTCACCATGTCGTGGCCGGCAGTTGGTGAGCTCGATGGAGGTGGCGACTCCCTCCCCCGCCATCTCCCTGACATGGCGGAACGGACGGCACGAGCAAACGGGGCAAAGCATGGGCAAAGGGGGCAACGCATGAGCAGAGGGGGAAAGGCATGGGCAGGGAGAACGGCATGAGCAGAGGGGGAAAGGCATGGGCAGGGAGAACGGCATGAGCAGAGGGGGAAAGGCATGCGCAAGGCGGGAATGCATGGGAAAGGCGGAAAGGCATGCGCAAGGCGGAAAGGCATGCGCAAGGCGGAAAGGCATGCGCAAGGCGGAAAGGCATGGGGAAGGCGGAAAGGCATGGGGAAGGCGGAAATGCATGGGCAAGGCGGAAAGGCAGGGGAAAGGCGGACATGCATGCGCAAGGCGGAAAGGCATGGGAAAAGGGGGGAACGGCGCGCTGACCTGCTCCGCGTGCAGCATGCTCGCCGGTGCTGTCCGCGCGGCCAGCAGCGCGCGCGGCGCTACCTGGTGAGCGCGGTGGGCGCCGTCACGGCGGGTGGAGCGGCGGCGGGTAGGCGCTGCTACGCTGGAGCCTGTCGTCCCTGCACAGCAAGGGGAGGGAGGGGCAGAGGGAGAGCGGAGGAAGGGACGGAGGGAGAGAGCAACGAGAAACCAAGAAAGGCAAGAGGGGTTGAGGACTGAAGTGAACTGTTTGGAAAGAATGCTCACGTAGGAGAGAAATGGGAAACATAACGGGAATTCCAGGGAGAAAACAGATAAAGAGGACAAAACGAAATAAAGTAATAAAACAGTAGAACAAAACGGATTTTGCATGGCGCATGGCACACATGCAGTCGCATGGCGCACATGCAATCGCGTGCTCATGAAATTTCAGCGTGCGCACATGCAGTGACAGTGCGCACCTGCTGGAGGGAGGAATAAGGGCCCTCCCACAGTGCGGGAGGGATCCGCCGCCTATGTTGAATCCCATGGGGGAAGGAATTCGAAGTCTAACGTGGGGAAGGCATTTAAGACCACTGATCGAGATGGGAGAGAAGGAATGGAGATCGGGAGAGCGGAAAAACGGAGACTAACGTGGGAGACGAAATTAGGAGATGAGCTGCGACCGATATGGGAGAGAATGAGTGGATCGGGAGAGCGGAGCTATGGAAAGTAACGTGGAAAATAATGGAGTTGAGATCGAAATGGGATGGGGATGGGATTGGGAGAGAAGCAAGGAAGGAGGAGTGGAGGAGATCGGGAGAGGAGTTGGAGAGGAGAGCAAGCAAGCAGATTTTGTTGACTCTCGCCACTGTAGCGCGAAATGACCAGCACCCTCGCCTCGGTCACCAAAACAGAAACGAATTGCAACTCTTCATACAAAAAAGGAACACTCCTCACCCTGGAACATGTAAACCTAAAACGAAAATAAGAGTGTACACCTAGAATCCACCTGCCCTGCACCAAAAAAACGATGGTGGGGACCAAATCTCAGAATTCACACACATTGCAAACCAAGTCGCGGAGCACAACACAAGCCTCCAATCCAAATCAAGTCGCTAAACACAAGTCGCGAAACATCCCACCGGTCCAATCAAACAGCACAAGCCATGCCAGCTAGCGCGGTCTGGGAAGTGACAGAAACGAGACTCGGATGATGTACAATCCAATATACAGTCATTGGTGCAGCGCTGGCGCGCTGCGCGATCCGCCTGGTGCCTGCAAACTTACTTTCTTATCAATCTATTCCCATGTACATGGGAATAGATTGATAAGAATGTAAGTTTGCATTTTCCTGGTTTATGTTTTCCTTCACGATGCATGCATTGTTATAAGCAAATATTCCAGAAAACAAGTGGGCTGACCCTGGTGTTGGTTGGTACATCTGCAGCAAAATCTTAGGCTAGCTAGTTCCTAGCTACCTATTTTTTAGCTATCTATTTGCTAGCTACCTAATTCCTGGCTAGTTATAGCCTGGCCTTGCCAATTCCTAGCTAGCCAATTTCTGGCCTGCCAACTCCTTGCTAACTCCTAGCCAATTCCTAGCTTGCTATTTCCTAGCTAGTAGCTAGTTAATTCCTAGCCAGCCAAATCATAGCTGGTAACTAGTTCCTAGCCAGCCACATCCTAGCAAGCTAATCCCTAGCTAGCTGCCGTAATTCCTAGTCAACCAAATCCTAACTACCGTAGCTAATTTGTAGATAGTTTACTACTCCTGGCTAACCTACGAGAAAGGGGCATCTGCGAGGGCGTGTTCCGGCTTCGTCTGTACGCGGTAAACACGATTGGATGTATCAGGGATGTGTCAGGAAGATGCTTCCTTGTGTCACACTCATTGTGGAGTTGATGAAAAGACTGACGTTGCAGATAATGACACCATCTCAAATCGACACGCAACAGGGCCTGGCCTGCAATCGTGCCAACCAAGCGATGGCCCGATACAAACACAGAGACTCAAAAGCTTGAAGCAATCTAATTCAGTAACGCACCACTCCATGCGCTTGACATTGATGTCATTCAACACAGAAACCTTGGTCGTCACGATGCAAGTGTGTAACACTCTATCATGCAGTTGCTTGAACCTAGTTTCACATCAACACGAAGCCACAAGGTACTTTATACGATACCTTGTGCACACCGATGCTGCTCTACTCTAAATATCCAGCCTCAGCATTCACCTAGGAGGCGGAATCCCTCCACCACCCGCACTGATATCATCCAGCTCAATCGTCCTATACTTCTGCGAAACCAGCTCCGCCTGCACCTTCCTGGCTGTATCGGTAGCGCATCCGACTAAAATGAGGATGGACGTTCCAGCAAACCCCCGGAAGGCCGTGAGGTGAGTGATTCCTTCCACAAGAGCCGGCGCTGCTGCCATCGTGCCGAGAAACGCCGACCCGAGCACCGAAATGCGGGTGAGGACCTGGTGTTAAGTAGTTAAAGAAGCAAGAGTAATGGGGAGAAAGGGAGAAGGGGATGGGAGGGGGAAGGAGAAGCCAAAGAGGGAAAGGAAACACGAGTGGGGAAAGGGCTGAGAGGGAGCCGGCCAGGAGTCATCATGGAGTGTTTGCGAGGCCAAACGGAGCTTGGTGATGAGCATGGCTGCTGCCTTGCCAGGCCTGGTGTAGGCCACAGACGCGCCCTGCCTCTTGAGAAAGTGGGCCGTATGCCGGATTTACGAACGTACAATGAGTGAACAAGGGCGACTCACCTTGGTGATGAGTGCGGCTGTTGCTTTGCCGGGCCTCGTGTTGGGTACGGACGCACCCTGCCTCTTGAGCTGGTCGCTGACATCAGCAGGGTCGAGTTGCAGGAAGGTGTAGAAGTAGTTGAAGAAGGCAATGAGTGCCACGTTGGCGGGGAGGTAGAAGAAACCTGGGGATTAGCGGAACACATGGGGAGAGAGGATGTTGATTGAAGATGCAAGGAGAAAGAAAGGAGAAGGAGCGAGTAAGTGAGTTGCAGGAAGGTGTAGAAGTAGTTGAGAAAGGCGAACAGTGCCACGTTAGCAGGCAGATAGAAGAAACCTGGAGATTAGCGGAACACATGGGGAGAGAGGATGTTGATTGAAGATGCAAGGAGAAAGAAAGGAGAAGGAGCGAGTAAGTGAGTTGCAGGAAGGTGTGGAAGTAGTTGAGAAAGGCGAACAGTGCCACGTTAGCAGGCAGATAGAAGAAACCTGGAGATTAGCGGAACACATGGGGAGAGAGGATGTTGATTGAAGATGCAAGGAGAAAGAAAGGAGAAGGAGCGAGTAAGTGAGTTGCAGGAAGGTGTGGAAGTAGTTGAAGAATGCAATCAGTGCCACGTTGGCGGGGAGGTAGAAGAAACCTGGGGATGAGTGGAGCAGGGAAATCAAAGGGAGTGGAGGAGGGAGAGGGAGCAGGGAGAGGAGTGAGTGAGTTGCAGGAAGGTGTAGAAGTAGTTGAAGAATGCGATGAGTGCCACGTTGGCAGGCGGGTAGAGGAGACCTGGGGATTAGTGGAACACATGGTGGTAAAAAGAGTGAGAGGATGACGGAAAAGCAGAGTGATAAATTTGCAGTAAGGTGTAGAAGTAGTTGAAGAAAGCGATCAGTGCCACGTTGGCAGGCAGATAGATCGGTAAAGCGAGCTATGGAGTAGGGAGCAGGAGCAGTCTGGTTACCCTATTACTGACCTGTGGTTACCATGTAACATACCTCCAGGGTAGAGAGCTGTAGCAGCGGACTGGAAAGCAGCACTTCCGGTAAAGCGAGCGATGGAGTAGGGAGCAGCGAGGAGCGAGGAAGAGAAGATAATTGGCATGACTCCCGTTGAGTTGACCTGCAGAGGGGGGAAGAGGAAGAGACGGGTAGAGGGTAGATGAGAAAGATGTTGATCCGAGAGGGTGGAACATAAGAAAGACGAAGGAGAGAGGAGGAGAAGACGATTGGCATGACTTTCGTTGAGTTGACCTGCGGGGGGGATTAGAGGTTGGATAAGAGAAAAGAGGTGGTTGTGAGAGAGGGGTGGTTGGAGAGAATGGGTAGATGAGAGAGAAAGGAACGGCAGATAATTGAGAAGAGAGGAGTAAACGTGAGGCATGGCTTCTGTTGAGTTGAGTGTGGGGGTTGGTGGGGGGGGGGGGGGGAAGGGTGAGTGAGTGAGGGGTCGATGCAAGAAAAAGAAAGCGGTGTGTTACATTCGCGGGAGAGATGCTACCTTCGAGGGGGAGGTGTTACCTTCCAGGGGGAGGTGCTGCCTTTCAGGGGGAGGTGTAACCTTCCAGAGGGAGGTGCTGCCTTTCAGGGGGAGGTGTTGCCTTTCAGGGGGAGGTGTTACCTTGAATGGCAGGTACGCATTCCGCGTCTTGATGTTGTACCGAGACGCATAGTTGATTGGAATACGCCGCTCTGCCTCCTGCTCGGTGGAAGGGATTAAGTTGTGGTGGTGGTGGGGGTGGTGGGGGTGGTAGGGGGAGTGGGAAGAACGGAGAAAAGAGGACGGGGAATTTGAATTGGTTGTATCGAGACACATAGTTGACGGGAATACGCCGCTCTGCTTCCTGCTTGGAGGGAAAGGGGTAGTGGATAGGGTAGAGGGTGGGAGGGGAAGGGGAGGAGAGGGTAGAAAGAGAGTAGAGGGTGAGATGGTGCATGGGGTTGGTTGTACCGTTATGCGTAGTTGATGGGGATGTGACACTCTGCCTCCTACTCGGAGGGAAGGGGGAAGTTGGAGCTGGTTGTAGCGGCACATAGTTGTTGGGAATGCGACTCCCCGCCTTCTGCTCAGAAGGCTGGCAGGCAGGCCGGCAGAGAGGCATAGAGCAGGAACCCACCTGCACCCATTCACACCCACCTGCACGTAGACAATCCCAAGGACGAGCAGCAGGAAGGAGGCCAGCAGCAGCGCCTCGCCGGTAACGTTCCCCTGCTCAGACGCCTCTGTGATGCAGGTAGGCAGGCAGGAGGAATATAGCACACCCATCCACACCCATCTGTACCGCACCCACCTGCACGTAGACGATGCCGAACACGAGCAGCAGGAAGGACGCGAGCAGCAGCGCCTCTCCGGTCACATTCCCTTGTTCAGAAGCCTCTGTGATCGTCCTCCCAATGGACGCCGGCAGGTAGGAAACGATATTGGTGAAGATGAGCAGAGAGGTGCCGTTGCCGAGCTTGAGATCAGTGATCTTGTCTCCCAGCAGGATGACTGCCACGGATCCCAAAGTGAGGCCCGAGACGGCGGAGACTGCCCAGGCGACCGACGGGTCGTAGGCGTACTGCTGTAGATATGCCACCTGTCCGATAGCCTGGGAGGAGGGCGAGAGGCAGGGAGGAAGGGAGAGCTTGAGGTGGGTGATCCTGTCTCCCAGGAGGATGACTGCCACGGATCCGACAGTCAGGCCTGAGACGGCTGAGACTGCCCAGGCGACCGAGGGGTCGTAGGCGTACTGCTGCAGATATGCCACCTGTCCGATTGCCTGGGAGGAGGGCGAGAGGCAGGGAGGAAGGGAGAGCTTGAGGTGGGTGATCCTGTCTCCCAGGAGGATGACTGCCACGGATCCGACAGTCAGGCCTGAGACGGCTGAGACTGCCCAAGCGACTGATGGGTCGTATGCGTACTGCTGCAGGTAGGCCACTTGGCCGATAGCCTGGGGAGTGGAGGGGGGCAGGGAGAAGGAGAGCTTGAGGTGGGTCGGTGATCTTGTCTCCCCGCAGTGGGGCGACTGAGGGGTCGTATGCGTACAACTGGAGGTAGGCCACTTGGCCTATGGCCTGGGGAGTGGAGGGGGAAGAATAGGGTGGGAAGCGGTGGGGTTGGGTTGAGGAGGGGCGACTGAGTGGTCGTATGCGTACTGCTGGAGGTAGGCCACTTGGCCGATAGCCTGTTGGCAGTGGAGGGGGGCAGGGAGAAGGAGAGCTTGAGGTGGGTCGGTGATCTTGTCTCCCCGCACGATGACTGCTACGGACCCGAGGCGCTCGTAATCTAGTAAAGACAAGAAGAATGTAATGAAATCAGGTAACGTACCTGCAGGGCACCGAACGCCACAGCCATATACTTCATGTACTGCTGCGCTTTCTTCCTCCCCGCCTCCCCCTCCTTCTTCTGCAGATCCCCAATCTTAGGGTACAGCGTCCCCAGCAGCTGGAACACGATCTGAGCGTTGATATACGGCACGATGCCCAGCGAAAACAATCCCAGCCGTCCAATCCCGCCCCCTGAGAGCGTGTCTAGGGTGGCCAGGAATGAGCCCTCCCCCAGTTGCTCCTGGAAGGCGGAGATATCGACGCCCCACAGGGGAATGTAGATTCCCACGCGGGATAGCGCGAGCAGACCCAGGAGCATGAGGAATTTCTTGGGTAAATCGCCCTTGAAAAAGTCGCCGATGTCGATCTTGCTGTCCTCCACTGGAAAGGTGGTGCGGGTCAGGTCAGGGGAGAGGTGGAAACGGGAGGCAGAGGGGGGAGAAAGAGGAGGGAGAACAAGGCAGAGAAAGGCAGAGAGATATAGTGGGAAGGCGGGGAGGAGGGATGAGGGAGAGATTGAAGCAGGGGAGGAAAAAAGGAAGAGGGAATTCGGTTTAGTCTTTTTTTTTTCCCTCGCCCCCCCAAGTCCCCCAAGTCCCCCCCCCCCTCCCCCCCACCCGGGGGGGGATGGAGGGTGGGGGAGAGGGGACAGGGGGGACGGGAGGGTGGGAGGAAAGGAATAACATTCTGATGTATGTATTGAAATAATATCACAATCAAGAATCACGGAATATTCTCTCAAATTCAAGCTAGAATCAGCCAACCAGGCTTTGTGACTGTGACTGTAATGAAGGTGGCTGTAATGAAGGCGACTCGACCCGGGGGTTACTGCAATGAAGGCGACTCGACTCGGGGGTGACTGCAATGAAGGCGACTCGACTCGGGGGTGACTGCAATGAAGGCGACTCGACTCGGGGGTGACTGCAATGAAGGCGACTCGACTCGGGGGTGACTGTAATGAATGCGACTCGACCCGGGATTGACTGTAATGAAGGCGACTCGACTCGCGGTCGGCGTGACTATAACCAAGTTCAGGGCGGCATGGCCAGCCTCCTGTCAAGAGAGCATGCCACGTCAGCACTTGTTGCCACGTCAGCAGGACCTGGGTTGAGGTAGGGCCTGGGTCCGGTTCGGGTATGGGCTGCCTCACGTCTCTGCCCCGGGCCTCACGTCTCTGCCCCGGGCCTCACATCTCTGCCCCGGGCCTCACGTCTCTGCCCCGGGCCTCACATCTCTGCCCCGGGCCTCACATCTCTGCCCCGGGCCTCACGTCTCTGCCCCGGGCCTCACGTCTCTGCCCCGGGCCTCACATCTCTGCCCCGGGCCTCACATCTCTGCCCCGGGCCTCACATCTCTGCCCCGGGCCTCACATCTCTGCCCCGGGCCTCAATACCTACCATAACCAACAAACACCACCTAACATTATCTACCACAGAAACATAACATAATCCTAAACAGCACCTAAGTAAGTTTGATGCATTTTTTGTGAACATTTCTAGACATTACTACGGTACGGGGAATCTTTATCGCACCTGCAATTCGTAGTGGCACCTGTGCAAGGTCCACGGGGGGGAGGGGCGGGAGAGAGAGGAGGACGAGAGGAGAAGAGGAAATGCGGGTCAGGGGAGGTGCTATGAGGGGCAGGGCAGGGGGGTGATGATAGCAGCAAGCACTGCAATAAGAGCCGCAGCATAAGCAAGCAAAGCTCATTCCCCCCCACCTCCATGCGCATTTCCCCCCTGCACCGCACACCACCCCACCCCACCCAACACACTCACCATGTCGTGGCCGGCAGTTGGTGAGCTCGATGGAGGTGGCGACTCCCTCCCCCGCCATCTCCCTGACATGGCGGAACGGACGGCACGAGCAAACGGGGCAAAGCATGGGCAAAGGGGGCAACGCATGAGCAGAGGGGGAAAGGCATGGGCAGGGAGAACGGCATGAGCAGAGGGGGAAAGGCATGGGCAGGGAGAACGGCATGAGCAGAGGGGGAAAGGCATGCGCAAGGCGGGAATGCATGGGAAAGGCGGAAAGGCATGCGCAAGGCGGAAAGGCATGCGCAAGGCGGAAAGGCATGCGCAAGGCGGAAAGGCATGGGGAAGGCGGAAAGGCATGGGGAAGGCGGAAATGCATGGGCAAGGCGGAAAGGCAGGGGAAAGGCGGACATGCATGCGCAAGGCGGAAAGGCATGGGAAAAGGGGGGAACGGCGCGCTGACCTGCTCCGCGTGCAGCATGCTCGCCGGTGCTGTCCGCGCGGCCAGCAGCGCGCGCGGCGCTACCTGGTGAGCGCGGTGGGCGCCGTCACGGCGGGTGGAGCGGCGGCGGGTAGGCGCTGCTACGCTGGAGCCTGTCGTCCCTGCACAGCAAGGGGAGGGAGGGGCAGAGGGAGAGCGGAGGAAGGGACGGAGGGAGAGAGCAACGAGAAACCAAGAAAGGCAAGAGGGGTTGAGGACTGAAGTGAACTGTTTGGAAAGAATGCTCACGTAGGAGAGAAATGGGAAACATAACGGGAATTCCAGGGAGAAAACAGATAAAGAGGACAAAACGAAATAAAGTAATAAAACAGTAGAACAAAACGGATTTTGCATGGCGCATGGCACACATGCAGTCGCATGGCGCACATGCAATCGCGTGCTCATGAAATTTCAGCGTGCGCACATGCAGTGACAGTGCGCACCTGCTGGAGGGAGGAATAAGGGCCCTCCCACAGTGCGGGAGGGATCCGCCGCCTATGTTGAATCCCATGGGGGAAGGAATTCGAAGTCTAACGTGGGGAAGGCATTTAAGACCACTGATCGAGATGGGAGAGAAGGAATGGAGATCGGGAGAGCGGAAAAACGGAGACTAACGTGGGAGACGAAATTAGGAGATGAGCTGCGACCGATATGGGAGAGAATGAGTGGATCGGGAGAGCGGAGCTATGGAAAGTAACGTGGAAAATAATGGAGTTGAGATCGAAATGGGATGGGGATGGGATTGGGAGAGAAGCAAGGAAGGAGGAGTGGAGGAGATCGGGAGAGGAGTTGGAGAGGAGAGCAAGCAAGCAGATTTTGTTGACTCTCGCCACTGTAGCGCGAAATGACCAGCACCCTCGCCTCGGTCACCAAAACAGAAACGAATTGCAACTCTTCATACAAAAAAGGAACACTCCTCACCCTGGAACATGTAAACCTAAAACGAAAATAAGAGTGTACACCTAGAATCCACCTGCCCTGCACCAAAAAAACGATGGTGGGGACCAAATCTCAGAATTCACACACATTGCAAACCAAGTCGCGGAGCACAACACAAGCCTCCAATCCAAATCAAGTCGCTAAACACAAGTCGCGAAACATCCCACCGGTCCAATCAAACAGCACAAGCCATGCCAGCTAGCGCGGTCTGGGAAGTGACAGAAACGAGACTCGGATGATGTACAATCCAATATACAGTCATTGGTGCAGCGCTGGCGCGCTGCGCGATCCGCCTGGTGCCTGCAAACTTACTTTCTTATCAATCTATTCCCATGTACATGGGAATAGATTGATAAGAATGTAAGTTTGCATTTTCCTGGTTTATGTTTTCCTTCACGATGCATGCATTGTTATAAGCAAATATTCCAGAAAACAAGTGGGCTGACCCTGGTGTTGGTTGGTACATCTGCAGCAAAATCTTAGGCTAGCTAGTTCCTAGCTACCTATTTTTTAGCTATCTATTTGCTAGCTACCTAATTCCTGGCTAGTTATAGCCTGGCCTTGCCAATTCCTAGCTAGCCAATTTCTGGCCTGCCAACTCCTTGCTAACTCCTAGCCAATTCCTAGCTTGCTATTTCCTAGCTAGTAGCTAGTTAATTCCTAGCCAGCCAAATCATAGCTGGTAACTAGTTCCTAGCCAGCCACATCCTAGCAAGCTAATCCCTAGCTAGCTGCCGTAATTCCTAGTCAACCAAATCCTAACTACCGTAGCTAATTTGTAGATAGTTTACTACTCCTGGCTAACCTACGAGAAAGGGGCATCTGCGAGGGCGTGTTCCGGCTTCGTCTGTACGCGGTAAACACGATTGGATGTATCAGGGATGTGTCAGGAAGATGCTTCCTTGTGTCACACTCATTGTGGAGTTGATGAAAAGACTGACGTTGCAGATAATGACACCATCTCAAATCGACACGCAACAGGGCCTGGCCTGCAATCGTGCCAACCAAGCGATGGCCCGATACAAACACAGAGACTCAAAAGCTTGAAGCAATCTAATTCAGTAACGCACCACTCCATGCGCTTGACATTGATGTCATTCAACACAGAAACCTTGGTCGTCACGATGCAAGTGTGTAACACTCTATCATGCAGTTGCTTGAACCTAGTTTCACATCAACACGAAGCCACAAGGTACTTTATACGATACCTTGTGCACACCGATGCTGCTCTACTCTAAATATCCAGCCTCAGCATTCACCTAGGAGGCGGAATCCCTCCACCACCCGCACTGATATCATCCAGCTCAATCGTCCTATACTTCTGCGAAACCAGCTCCGCCTGCACCTTCCTGGCTGTATCGGTAGCGCATCCGACTAAAATGAGGATGGACGTTCCAGCAAACCCCCGGAAGGCCGTGAGGTGAGTGATTCCTTCCACAAGAGCCGGCGCTGCTGCCATCGTGCCGAGAAACGCCGACCCGAGCACCGAAATGCGGGTGAGGACCTGGTGTTAAGTAGTTAAAGAAGCAAGAGTAATGGGGAGAAAGGGAGAAGGGGATGGGAGGGGGAAGGAGAAGCCAAAGAGGGAAAGGAAACACGAGTGGGGAAAGGGCTGAGAGGGAGCCGGCCAGGAGTCATCATGGAGTGTTTGCGAGGCCAAACGGAGCTTGGTGATGAGCATGGCTGCTGCCTTGCCAGGCCTGGTGTAGGCCACAGACGCGCCCTGCCTCTTGAGAAAGTGGGCCGTATGCCGGATTTACGAACGTACAATGAGTGAACAAGGGCGACTCACCTTGGTGATGAGTGCGGCTGTTGCTTTGCCGGGCCTCGTGTTGGGTACGGACGCACCCTGCCTCTTGAGCTGGTCGCTGACATCAGCAGGGTCGAGTTGCAGGAAGGTGTAGAAGTAGTTGAAGAAGGCAATGAGTGCCACGTTGGCGGGGAGGTAGAAGAAACCTGGGGATTAGCGGAACACATGGGGAGAGAGGATGTTGATTGAAGATGCAAGGAGAAAGAAAGGAGAAGGAGCGAGTAAGTGAGTTGCAGGAAGGTGTAGAAGTAGTTGAGAAAGGCGAACAGTGCCACGTTAGCAGGCAGATAGAAGAAACCTGGAGATTAGCGGAACACATGGGGAGAGAGGATGTTGATTGAAGATGCAAGGAGAAAGAAAGGAGAAGGAGCGAGTAAGTGAGTTGCAGGAAGGTGTGGAAGTAGTTGAGAAAGGCGAACAGTGCCACGTTAGCAGGCAGATAGAAGAAACCTGGAGATTAGCGGAACACATGGGGAGAGAGGATGTTGATTGAAGATGCAAGGAGAAAGAAAGGAGAAGGAGCGAGTAAGTGAGTTGCAGGAAGGTGTGGAAGTAGTTGAAGAATGCAATCAGTGCCACGTTGGCGGGGAGGTAGAAGAAACCTGGGGATGAGTGGAGCAGGGAAATCAAAGGGAGTGGAGGAGGGAGAGGGAGCAGGGAGAGGAGTGAGTGAGTTGCAGGAAGGTGTAGAAGTAGTTGAAGAATGCGATGAGTGCCACGTTGGCAGGCGGGTAGAGGAGACCTGGGGATTAGTGGAACACATGGTGGTAAAAAGAGTGAGAGGATGACGGAAAAGCAGAGTGATAAATTTGCAGTAAGGTGTAGAAGTAGTTGAAGAAAGCGATCAGTGCCACGTTGGCAGGCAGATAGATCGGTAAAGCGAGCTATGGAGTAGGGAGCAGGAGCAGTCTGGTTACCCTATTACTGACCTGTGGTTACCATGTAACATACCTCCAGGGTAGAGAGCTGTAGCAGCGGACTGGAAAGCAGCACTTCCGGTAAAGCGAGCGATGGAGTAGGGAGCAGCGAGGAGCGAGGAAGAGAAGATAATTGGCATGACTCCCGTTGAGTTGACCTGCAGAGGGGGGAAGAGGAAGAGACGGGTAGAGGGTAGATGAGAAAGATGTTGATCCGAGAGGGTGGAACATAAGAAAGACGAAGGAGAGAGGAGGAGAAGACGATTGGCATGACTTTCGTTGAGTTGACCTGCGGGGGGGATTAGAGGTTGGATAAGAGAAAAGAGGTGGTTGTGAGAGAGGGGTGGTTGGAGAGAATGGGTAGATGAGAGAGAAAGGAACGGCAGATAATTGAGAAGAGAGGAGTAAACGTGAGGCATGGCTTCTGTTGAGTTGAGTGTGGGGGTTGGTGGGGGGGGGGGGGGGAAGGGTGAGTGAGTGAGGGGTCGATGCAAGAAAAAGAAAGCGGTGTGTTACATTCGCGGGAGAGATGCTACCTTCGAGGGGGAGGTGTTACCTTCCAGGGGGAGGTGCTGCCTTTCAGGGGGAGGTGTAACCTTCCAGAGGGAGGTGCTGCCTTTCAGGGGGAGGTGTTGCCTTTCAGGGGGAGGTGTTACCTTGAATGGCAGGTACGCATTCCGCGTCTTGATGTTGTACCGAGACGCATAGTTGATTGGAATACGCCGCTCTGCCTCCTGCTCGGTGGAAGGGATTAAGTTGTGGTGGTGGTGGGGGTGGTGGGGGTGGTAGGGGGAGTGGGAAGAACGGAGAAAAGAGGACGGGGAATTTGAATTGGTTGTATCGAGACACATAGTTGACGGGAATACGCCGCTCTGCTTCCTGCTTGGAGGGAAAGGGGTAGTGGATAGGGTAGAGGGTGGGAGGGGAAGGGGAGGAGAGGGTAGAAAGAGAGTAGAGGGTGAGATGGTGCATGGGGTTGGTTGTACCGTTATGCGTAGTTGATGGGGATGTGACACTCTGCCTCCTACTCGGAGGGAAGGGGGAAGTTGGAGCTGGTTGTAGCGGCACATAGTTGTTGGGAATGCGACTCCCCGCCTTCTGCTCAGAAGGCTGGCAGGCAGGCCGGCAGAGAGGCATAGAGCAGGAACCCACCTGCACCCATTCACACCCACCTGCACGTAGACAATCCCAAGGACGAGCAGCAGGAAGGAGGCCAGCAGCAGCGCCTCGCCGGTAACGTTCCCCTGCTCAGACGCCTCTGTGATGCAGGTAGGCAGGCAGGAGGAATATAGCACACCCATCCACACCCATCTGTACCGCACCCACCTGCACGTAGACGATGCCGAACACGAGCAGCAGGAAGGACGCGAGCAGCAGCGCCTCTCCGGTCACATTCCCTTGTTCAGAAGCCTCTGTGATCGTCCTCCCAATGGACGCCGGCAGGTAGGAAACGATATTGGTGAAGATGAGCAGAGAGGTGCCGTTGCCGAGCTTGAGATCAGTGATCTTGTCTCCCAGCAGGATGACTGCCACGGATCCCAAAGTGAGGCCCGAGACGGCGGAGACTGCCCAGGCGACCGACGGGTCGTAGGCGTACTGCTGTAGATATGCCACCTGTCCGATAGCCTGGGAGGAGGGCGAGAGGCAGGGAGGAAGGGAGAGCTTGAGGTGGGTGATCCTGTCTCCCAGGAGGATGACTGCCACGGATCCGACAGTCAGGCCTGAGACGGCTGAGACTGCCCAGGCGACCGAGGGGTCGTAGGCGTACTGCTGCAGATATGCCACCTGTCCGATTGCCTGGGAGGAGGGCGAGAGGCAGGGAGGAAGGGAGAGCTTGAGGTGGGTGATCCTGTCTCCCAGGAGGATGACTGCCACGGATCCGACAGTCAGGCCTGAGACGGCTGAGACTGCCCAAGCGACTGATGGGTCGTATGCGTACTGCTGCAGGTAGGCCACTTGGCCGATAGCCTGGGGAGTGGAGGGGGGCAGGGAGAAGGAGAGCTTGAGGTGGGTCGGTGATCTTGTCTCCCCGCAGTGGGGCGACTGAGGGGTCGTATGCGTACAACTGGAGGTAGGCCACTTGGCCTATGGCCTGGGGAGTGGAGGGGGAAGAATAGGGTGGGAAGCGGTGGGGTTGGGTTGAGGAGGGGCGACTGAGTGGTCGTATGCGTACTGCTGGAGGTAGGCCACTTGGCCGATAGCCTGTTGGCAGTGGAGGGGGGCAGGGAGAAGGAGAGCTTGAGGTGGGTCGGTGATCTTGTCTCCCCGCACGATGACTGCTACGGACCCGAGGCGCTCGTAATCTAGTAAAGACAAGAAGAATGTAATGAAATCAGGTAACGTACCTGCAGGGCACCGAACGCCACAGCCATATACTTCATGTACTGCTGCGCTTTCTTCCTCCCCGCCTCCCCCTCCTTCTTCTGCAGATCCCCAATCTTAGGGTACAGCGTCCCCAGCAGCTGGAACACGATCTGAGCGTTGATATACGGCACGATGCCCAGCGAAAACAATCCCAGCCGTCCAATCCCGCCCCCTGAGAGCGTGTCTAGGGTGGCCAGGAATGAGCCCTCCCCCAGTTGCTCCTGGAAGGCGGAGATATCGACGCCCCACAGGGGAATGTAGATTCCCACGCGGGATAGCGCGAGCAGACCCAGGAGCATGAGGAATTTCTTGGGTAAATCGCCCTTGAAAAAGTCGCCGATGTCGATCTTGCTGTCCTCCACTGGAAAGGTGGTGCGGGTCAGGTCAGGGGAGAGGTGGAAACGGGAGGCAGAGGGGGGAGAAAGAGGAGGGAGAACAAGGCAGAGAAAGGCAGAGAGATATAGTGGGAAGGCGGGGAGGAGGGATGAGGGAGAGATTGAAGCAGGGGAGGAAAAAAGGAAGAGGGAATTCGGTTTAGTCTTTTTTTTTTCCCTCGCCCCCCCAAGTCCCCCAAGTCCCCCCCCCCCTCCCCCCCACCCGGGGGGGGATGGAGGGTGGGGGAGAGGGGACAGGGGGGACGGGAGGGTGGGAGGAAAGGAATAACATTCTGATGTATGTATTGAAATAATATCACAATCAAGAATCACGGAATATTCTCTCAAATTCAAGCTAGAATCAGCCAACCAGGCTTTGTGACTGTGACTGTAATGAAGGTGGCTGTAATGAAGGCGACTCGACCCGGGGGTTACTGCAATGAAGGCGACTCGACTCGGGGGTGACTGCAATGAAGGCGACTCGACTCGGGGGTGACTGCAATGAAGGCGACTCGACTCGGGGGTGACTGCAATGAAGGCGACTCGACTCGGGGGTGACTGTAATGAATGCGACTCGACCCGGGATTGACTGTAATGAAGGCGACTCGACTCGCGGTCGGCGTGACTATAACCAAGTTCAGGGCGGCATGGCCAGCCTCCTGTCAAGAGAGCATGCCACGTCAGCACTTGTTGCCACGTCAGCAGGACCTGGGTTGAGGTAGGGCCTGGGTCCGGTTCGGGTATGGGCTGCCTCACGTCTCTGCCCCGGGCCTCACGTCTCTGCCCCGGGCCTCACATCTCTGCCCCGGGCCTCACGTCTCTGCCCCGGGCCTCACATCTCTGCCCCGGGCCTCACATCTCTGCCCCGGGCCTCACGTCTCTGCCCCGGGCCTCACGTCTCTGCCCCGGGCCTCACATCTCTGCCCCGGGCCTCACATCTCTGCCCCGGGCCTCACATCTCTGCCCCGGGCCTCACATCTCTGCCCCGGGCCTCAATACCTACCATAACCAACAAACACCACCTAACATTATCTACCACAGAAACATAACATAATCCTAAACAGCACCTAAGTAAGTTTGATGCATTTTTTGTGAACATTTCTAGACATTACTACGGTACGGGGAATCTTTATCGCACCTGCAATTCGTAGTGGCACCTGTGCAAGGTCCACGGGGGGGAGGGGCGGGAGAGAGAGGAGGACGAGAGGAGAAGAGGAAATGCGGGTCAGGGGAGGTGCTATGAGGGGCAGGGCAGGGGGGTGATGATAGCAGCAAGCACTGCAATAAGAGCCGCAGCATAAGCAAGCAAAGCTCATTCCCCCCCACCTCCATGCGCATTTCCCCCCTGCACCGCACACCACCCCACCCCACCCAACACACTCACCATGTCGTGGCCGGCAGTTGGTGAGCTCGATGGAGGTGGCGACTCCCTCCCCCGCCATCTCCCTGACATGGCGGAACGGACGGCACGAGCAAACGGGGCAAAGCATGGGCAAAGGGGGCAACGCATGAGCAGAGGGGGAAAGGCATGGGCAGGGAGAACGGCATGAGCAGAGGGGGAAAGGCATGGGCAGGGAGAACGGCATGAGCAGAGGGGGAAAGGCATGCGCAAGGCGGGAATGCATGGGAAAGGCGGAAAGGCATGCGCAAGGCGGAAAGGCATGCGCAAGGCGGAAAGGCATGCGCAAGGCGGAAAGGCATGGGGAAGGCGGAAAGGCATGGGGAAGGCGGAAATGCATGGGCAAGGCGGAAAGGCAGGGGAAAGGCGGACATGCATGCGCAAGGCGGAAAGGCATGGGAAAAGGGGGGAACGGCGCGCTGACCTGCTCCGCGTGCAGCATGCTCGCCGGTGCTGTCCGCGCGGCCAGCAGCGCGCGCGGCGCTACCTGGTGAGCGCGGTGGGCGCCGTCACGGCGGGTGGAGCGGCGGCGGGTAGGCGCTGCTACGCTGGAGCCTGTCGTCCCTGCACAGCAAGGGGAGGGAGGGGCAGAGGGAGAGCGGAGGAAGGGACGGAGGGAGAGAGCAACGAGAAACCAAGAAAGGCAAGAGGGGTTGAGGACTGAAGTGAACTGTTTGGAAAGAATGCTCACGTAGGAGAGAAATGGGAAACATAACGGGAATTCCAGGGAGAAAACAGATAAAGAGGACAAAACGAAATAAAGTAATAAAACAGTAGAACAAAACGGATTTTGCATGGCGCATGGCACACATGCAGTCGCATGGCGCACATGCAATCGCGTGCTCATGAAATTTCAGCGTGCGCACATGCAGTGACAGTGCGCACCTGCTGGAGGGAGGAATAAGGGCCCTCCCACAGTGCGGGAGGGATCCGCCGCCTATGTTGAATCCCATGGGGGAAGGAATTCGAAGTCTAACGTGGGGAAGGCATTTAAGACCACTGATCGAGATGGGAGAGAAGGAATGGAGATCGGGAGAGCGGAAAAACGGAGACTAACGTGGGAGACGAAATTAGGAGATGAGCTGCGACCGATATGGGAGAGAATGAGTGGATCGGGAGAGCGGAGCTATGGAAAGTAACGTGGAAAATAATGGAGTTGAGATCGAAATGGGATGGGGATGGGATTGGGAGAGAAGCAAGGAAGGAGGAGTGGAGGAGATCGGGAGAGGAGTTGGAGAGGAGAGCAAGCAAGCAGATTTTGTTGACTCTCGCCACTGTAGCGCGAAATGACCAGCACCCTCGCCTCGGTCACCAAAACAGAAACGAATTGCAACTCTTCATACAAAAAAGGAACACTCCTCACCCTGGAACATGTAAACCTAAAACGAAAATAAGAGTGTACACCTAGAATCCACCTGCCCTGCACCAAAAAAACGATGGTGGGGACCAAATCTCAGAATTCACACACATTGCAAACCAAGTCGCGGAGCACAACACAAGCCTCCAATCCAAATCAAGTCGCTAAACACAAGTCGCGAAACATCCCACCGGTCCAATCAAACAGCACAAGCCATGCCAGCTAGCGCGGTCTGGGAAGTGACAGAAACGAGACTCGGATGATGTACAATCCAATATACAGTCATTGGTGCAGCGCTGGCGCGCTGCGCGATCCGCCTGGTGCCTGCAAACTTACTTTCTTATCAATCTATTCCCATGTACATGGGAATAGATTGATAAGAATGTAAGTTTGCATTTTCCTGGTTTATGTTTTCCTTCACGATGCATGCATTGTTATAAGCAAATATTCCAGAAAACAAGTGGGCTGACCCTGGTGTTGGTTGGTACATCTGCAGCAAAATCTTAGGCTAGCTAGTTCCTAGCTACCTATTTTTTAGCTATCTATTTGCTAGCTACCTAATTCCTGGCTAGTTATAGCCTGGCCTTGCCAATTCCTAGCTAGCCAATTTCTGGCCTGCCAACTCCTTGCTAACTCCTAGCCAATTCCTAGCTTGCTATTTCCTAGCTAGTAGCTAGTTAATTCCTAGCCAGCCAAATCATAGCTGGTAACTAGTTCCTAGCCAGCCACATCCTAGCAAGCTAATCCCTAGCTAGCTGCCGTAATTCCTAGTCAACCAAATCCTAACTACCGTAGCTAATTTGTAGATAGTTTACTACTCCTGGCTAACCTACGAGAAAGGGGCATCTGCGAGGGCGTGTTCCGGCTTCGTCTGTACGCGGTAAACACGATTGGATGTATCAGGGATGTGTCAGGAAGATGCTTCCTTGTGTCACACTCATTGTGGAGTTGATGAAAAGACTGACGTTGCAGATAATGACACCATCTCAAATCGACACGCAACAGGGCCTGGCCTGCAATCGTGCCAACCAAGCGATGGCCCGATACAAACACAGAGACTCAAAAGCTTGAAGCAATCTAATTCAGTAACGCACCACTCCATGCGCTTGACATTGATGTCATTCAACACAGAAACCTTGGTCGTCACGATGCAAGTGTGTAACACTCTATCATGCAGTTGCTTGAACCTAGTTTCACATCAACACGAAGCCACAAGGTACTTTATACGATACCTTGTGCACACCGATGCTGCTCTACTCTAAATATCCAGCCTCAGCATTCACCTAGGAGGCGGAATCCCTCCACCACCCGCACTGATATCATCCAGCTCAATCGTCCTATACTTCTGCGAAACCAGCTCCGCCTGCACCTTCCTGGCTGTATCGGTAGCGCATCCGACTAAAATGAGGATGGACGTTCCAGCAAACCCCCGGAAGGCCGTGAGGTGAGTGATTCCTTCCACAAGAGCCGGCGCTGCTGCCATCGTGCCGAGAAACGCCGACCCGAGCACCGAAATGCGGGTGAGGACCTGGTGTTAAGTAGTTAAAGAAGCAAGAGTAATGGGGAGAAAGGGAGAAGGGGATGGGAGGGGGAAGGAGAAGCCAAAGAGGGAAAGGAAACACGAGTGGGGAAAGGGCTGAGAGGGAGCCGGCCAGGAGTCATCATGGAGTGTTTGCGAGGCCAAACGGAGCTTGGTGATGAGCATGGCTGCTGCCTTGCCAGGCCTGGTGTAGGCCACAGACGCGCCCTGCCTCTTGAGAAAGTGGGCCGTATGCCGGATTTACGAACGTACAATGAGTGAACAAGGGCGACTCACCTTGGTGATGAGTGCGGCTGTTGCTTTGCCGGGCCTCGTGTTGGGTACGGACGCACCCTGCCTCTTGAGCTGGTCGCTGACATCAGCAGGGTCGAGTTGCAGGAAGGTGTAGAAGTAGTTGAAGAAGGCAATGAGTGCCACGTTGGCGGGGAGGTAGAAGAAACCTGGGGATTAGCGGAACACATGGGGAGAGAGGATGTTGATTGAAGATGCAAGGAGAAAGAAAGGAGAAGGAGCGAGTAAGTGAGTTGCAGGAAGGTGTAGAAGTAGTTGAGAAAGGCGAACAGTGCCACGTTAGCAGGCAGATAGAAGAAACCTGGAGATTAGCGGAACACATGGGGAGAGAGGATGTTGATTGAAGATGCAAGGAGAAAGAAAGGAGAAGGAGCGAGTAAGTGAGTTGCAGGAAGGTGTGGAAGTAGTTGAGAAAGGCGAACAGTGCCACGTTAGCAGGCAGATAGAAGAAACCTGGAGATTAGCGGAACACATGGGGAGAGAGGATGTTGATTGAAGATGCAAGGAGAAAGAAAGGAGAAGGAGCGAGTAAGTGAGTTGCAGGAAGGTGTGGAAGTAGTTGAAGAATGCAATCAGTGCCACGTTGGCGGGGAGGTAGAAGAAACCTGGGGATGAGTGGAGCAGGGAAATCAAAGGGAGTGGAGGAGGGAGAGGGAGCAGGGAGAGGAGTGAGTGAGTTGCAGGAAGGTGTAGAAGTAGTTGAAGAATGCGATGAGTGCCACGTTGGCAGGCGGGTAGAGGAGACCTGGGGATTAGTGGAACACATGGTGGTAAAAAGAGTGAGAGGATGACGGAAAAGCAGAGTGATAAATTTGCAGTAAGGTGTAGAAGTAGTTGAAGAAAGCGATCAGTGCCACGTTGGCAGGCAGATAGATCGGTAAAGCGAGCTATGGAGTAGGGAGCAGGAGCAGTCTGGTTACCCTATTACTGACCTGTGGTTACCATGTAACATACCTCCAGGGTAGAGAGCTGTAGCAGCGGACTGGAAAGCAGCACTTCCGGTAAAGCGAGCGATGGAGTAGGGAGCAGCGAGGAGCGAGGAAGAGAAGATAATTGGCATGACTCCCGTTGAGTTGACCTGCAGAGGGGGGAAGAGGAAGAGACGGGTAGAGGGTAGATGAGAAAGATGTTGATCCGAGAGGGTGGAACATAAGAAAGACGAAGGAGAGAGGAGGAGAAGACGATTGGCATGACTTTCGTTGAGTTGACCTGCGGGGGGGATTAGAGGTTGGATAAGAGAAAAGAGGTGGTTGTGAGAGAGGGGTGGTTGGAGAGAATGGGTAGATGAGAGAGAAAGGAACGGCAGATAATTGAGAAGAGAGGAGTAAACGTGAGGCATGGCTTCTGTTGAGTTGAGTGTGGGGGTTGGTGGGGGGGGGGGGGGGAAGGGTGAGTGAGTGAGGGGTCGATGCAAGAAAAAGAAAGCGGTGTGTTACATTCGCGGGAGAGATGCTACCTTCGAGGGGGAGGTGTTACCTTCCAGGGGGAGGTGCTGCCTTTCAGGGGGAGGTGTAACCTTCCAGAGGGAGGTGCTGCCTTTCAGGGGGAGGTGTTGCCTTTCAGGGGGAGGTGTTACCTTGAATGGCAGGTACGCATTCCGCGTCTTGATGTTGTACCGAGACGCATAGTTGATTGGAATACGCCGCTCTGCCTCCTGCTCGGTGGAAGGGATTAAGTTGTGGTGGTGGTGGGGGTGGTGGGGGTGGTAGGGGGAGTGGGAAGAACGGAGAAAAGAGGACGGGGAATTTGAATTGGTTGTATCGAGACACATAGTTGACGGGAATACGCCGCTCTGCTTCCTGCTTGGAGGGAAAGGGGTAGTGGATAGGGTAGAGGGTGGGAGGGGAAGGGGAGGAGAGGGTAGAAAGAGAGTAGAGGGTGAGATGGTGCATGGGGTTGGTTGTACCGTTATGCGTAGTTGATGGGGATGTGACACTCTGCCTCCTACTCGGAGGGAAGGGGGAAGTTGGAGCTGGTTGTAGCGGCACATAGTTGTTGGGAATGCGACTCCCCGCCTTCTGCTCAGAAGGCTGGCAGGCAGGCCGGCAGAGAGGCATAGAGCAGGAACCCACCTGCACCCATTCACACCCACCTGCACGTAGACAATCCCAAGGACGAGCAGCAGGAAGGAGGCCAGCAGCAGCGCCTCGCCGGTAACGTTCCCCTGCTCAGACGCCTCTGTGATGCAGGTAGGCAGGCAGGAGGAATATAGCACACCCATCCACACCCATCTGTACCGCACCCACCTGCACGTAGACGATGCCGAACACGAGCAGCAGGAAGGACGCGAGCAGCAGCGCCTCTCCGGTCACATTCCCTTGTTCAGAAGCCTCTGTGATCGTCCTCCCAATGGACGCCGGCAGGTAGGAAACGATATTGGTGAAGATGAGCAGAGAGGTGCCGTTGCCGAGCTTGAGATCAGTGATCTTGTCTCCCAGCAGGATGACTGCCACGGATCCCAAAGTGAGGCCCGAGACGGCGGAGACTGCCCAGGCGACCGACGGGTCGTAGGCGTACTGCTGTAGATATGCCACCTGTCCGATAGCCTGGGAGGAGGGCGAGAGGCAGGGAGGAAGGGAGAGCTTGAGGTGGGTGATCCTGTCTCCCAGGAGGATGACTGCCACGGATCCGACAGTCAGGCCTGAGACGGCTGAGACTGCCCAGGCGACCGAGGGGTCGTAGGCGTACTGCTGCAGATATGCCACCTGTCCGATTGCCTGGGAGGAGGGCGAGAGGCAGGGAGGAAGGGAGAGCTTGAGGTGGGTGATCCTGTCTCCCAGGAGGATGACTGCCACGGATCCGACAGTCAGGCCTGAGACGGCTGAGACTGCCCAAGCGACTGATGGGTCGTATGCGTACTGCTGCAGGTAGGCCACTTGGCCGATAGCCTGGGGAGTGGAGGGGGGCAGGGAGAAGGAGAGCTTGAGGTGGGTCGGTGATCTTGTCTCCCCGCAGTGGGGCGACTGAGGGGTCGTATGCGTACAACTGGAGGTAGGCCACTTGGCCTATGGCCTGGGGAGTGGAGGGGGAAGAATAGGGTGGGAAGCGGTGGGGTTGGGTTGAGGAGGGGCGACTGAGTGGTCGTATGCGTACTGCTGGAGGTAGGCCACTTGGCCGATAGCCTGTTGGCAGTGGAGGGGGGCAGGGAGAAGGAGAGCTTGAGGTGGGTCGGTGATCTTGTCTCCCCGCACGATGACTGCTACGGACCCGAGGCGCTCGTAATCTAGTAAAGACAAGAAGAATGTAATGAAATCAGGTAACGTACCTGCAGGGCACCGAACGCCACAGCCATATACTTCATGTACTGCTGCGCTTTCTTCCTCCCCGCCTCCCCCTCCTTCTTCTGCAGATCCCCAATCTTAGGGTACAGCGTCCCCAGCAGCTGGAACACGATCTGAGCGTTGATATACGGCACGATGCCCAGCGAAAACAATCCCAGCCGTCCAATCCCGCCCCCTGAGAGCGTGTCTAGGGTGGCCAGGAATGAGCCCTCCCCCAGTTGCTCCTGGAAGGCGGAGATATCGACGCCCCACAGGGGAATGTAGATTCCCACGCGGGATAGCGCGAGCAGACCCAGGAGCATGAGGAATTTCTTGGGTAAATCGCCCTTGAAAAAGTCGCCGATGTCGATCTTGCTGTCCTCCACTGGAAAGGTGGTGCGGGTCAGGTCAGGGGAGAGGTGGAAACGGGAGGCAGAGGGGGGAGAAAGAGGAGGGAGAACAAGGCAGAGAAAGGCAGAGAGATATAGTGGGAAGGCGGGGAGGAGGGATGAGGGAGAGATTGAAGCAGGGGAGGAAAAAAGGAAGAGGGAATTCGGTTTAGTCTTTTTTTTTTCCCTCGCCCCCCCAAGTCCCCCAAGTCCCCCCCCCCCTCCCCCCCACCCGGGGGGGGATGGAGGGTGGGGGAGAGGGGACAGGGGGGACGGGAGGGTGGGAGGAAAGGAATAACATTCTGATGTATGTATTGAAATAATATCACAATCAAGAATCACGGAATATTCTCTCAAATTCAAGCTAGAATCAGCCAACCAGGCTTTGTGACTGTGACTGTAATGAAGGTGGCTGTAATGAAGGCGACTCGACCCGGGGGTTACTGCAATGAAGGCGACTCGACTCGGGGGTGACTGCAATGAAGGCGACTCGACTCGGGGGTGACTGCAATGAAGGCGACTCGACTCGGGGGTGACTGCAATGAAGGCGACTCGACTCGGGGGTGACTGTAATGAATGCGACTCGACCCGGGATTGACTGTAATGAAGGCGACTCGACTCGCGGTCGGCGTGACTATAACCAAGTTCAGGGCGGCATGGCCAGCCTCCTGTCAAGAGAGCATGCCACGTCAGCACTTGTTGCCACGTCAGCAGGACCTGGGTTGAGGTAGGGCCTGGGTCCGGTTCGGGTATGGGCTGCCTCACGTCTCTGCCCCGGGCCTCACGTCTCTGCCCCGGGCCTCACATCTCTGCCCCGGGCCTCACGTCTCTGCCCCGGGCCTCACATCTCTGCCCCGGGCCTCACATCTCTGCCCCGGGCCTCACGTCTCTGCCCCGGGCCTCACGTCTCTGCCCCGGGCCTCACATCTCTGCCCCGGGCCTCACATCTCTGCCCCGGGCCTCACATCTCTGCCCCGGGCCTCACATCTCTGCCCCGGGCCTCAATACCTACCATAACCAACAAACACCACCTAACATTATCTACCACAGAAACATAACATAATCCTAAACAGCACCTAAGTAAGTTTGATGCATTTTTTGTGAACATTTCTAGACATTACTACGGTACGGGGAATCTTTATCGCACCTGCAATTCGTAGTGGCACCTGTGCAAGGTCCACGGGGGGGAGGGGCGGGAGAGAGAGGAGGACGAGAGGAGAAGAGGAAATGCGGGTCAGGGGAGGTGCTATGAGGGGCAGGGCAGGGGGGTGATGATAGCAGCAAGCACTGCAATAAGAGCCGCAGCATAAGCAAGCAAAGCTCATTCCCCCCCACCTCCATGCGCATTTCCCCCCTGCACCGCACACCACCCCACCCCACCCAACACACTCACCATGTCGTGGCCGGCAGTTGGTGAGCTCGATGGAGGTGGCGACTCCCTCCCCCGCCATCTCCCTGACATGGCGGAACGGACGGCACGAGCAAACGGGGCAAAGCATGGGCAAAGGGGGCAACGCATGAGCAGAGGGGGAAAGGCATGGGCAGGGAGAACGGCATGAGCAGAGGGGGAAAGGCATGGGCAGGGAGAACGGCATGAGCAGAGGGGGAAAGGCATGCGCAAGGCGGGAATGCATGGGAAAGGCGGAAAGGCATGCGCAAGGCGGAAAGGCATGCGCAAGGCGGAAAGGCATGCGCAAGGCGGAAAGGCATGGGGAAGGCGGAAAGGCATGGGGAAGGCGGAAATGCATGGGCAAGGCGGAAAGGCAGGGGAAAGGCGGACATGCATGCGCAAGGCGGAAAGGCATGGGAAAAGGGGGGAACGGCGCGCTGACCTGCTCCGCGTGCAGCATGCTCGCCGGTGCTGTCCGCGCGGCCAGCAGCGCGCGCGGCGCTACCTGGTGAGCGCGGTGGGCGCCGTCACGGCGGGTGGAGCGGCGGCGGGTAGGCGCTGCTACGCTGGAGCCTGTCGTCCCTGCACAGCAAGGGGAGGGAGGGGCAGAGGGAGAGCGGAGGAAGGGACGGAGGGAGAGAGCAACGAGAAACCAAGAAAGGCAAGAGGGGTTGAGGACTGAAGTGAACTGTTTGGAAAGAATGCTCACGTAGGAGAGAAATGGGAAACATAACGGGAATTCCAGGGAGAAAACAGATAAAGAGGACAAAACGAAATAAAGTAATAAAACAGTAGAACAAAACGGATTTTGCATGGCGCATGGCACACATGCAGTCGCATGGCGCACATGCAATCGCGTGCTCATGAAATTTCAGCGTGCGCACATGCAGTGACAGTGCGCACCTGCTGGAGGGAGGAATAAGGGCCCTCCCACAGTGCGGGAGGGATCCGCCGCCTATGTTGAATCCCATGGGGGAAGGAATTCGAAGTCTAACGTGGGGAAGGCATTTAAGACCACTGATCGAGATGGGAGAGAAGGAATGGAGATCGGGAGAGCGGAAAAACGGAGACTAACGTGGGAGACGAAATTAGGAGATGAGCTGCGACCGATATGGGAGAGAATGAGTGGATCGGGAGAGCGGAGCTATGGAAAGTAACGTGGAAAATAATGGAGTTGAGATCGAAATGGGATGGGGATGGGATTGGGAGAGAAGCAAGGAAGGAGGAGTGGAGGAGATCGGGAGAGGAGTTGGAGAGGAGAGCAAGCAAGCAGATTTTGTTGACTCTCGCCACTGTAGCGCGAAATGACCAGCACCCTCGCCTCGGTCACCAAAACAGAAACGAATTGCAACTCTTCATACAAAAAAGGAACACTCCTCACCCTGGAACATGTAAACCTAAAACGAAAATAAGAGTGTACACCTAGAATCCACCTGCCCTGCACCAAAAAAACGATGGTGGGGACCAAATCTCAGAATTCACACACATTGCAAACCAAGTCGCGGAGCACAACACAAGCCTCCAATCCAAATCAAGTCGCTAAACACAAGTCGCGAAACATCCCACCGGTCCAATCAAACAGCACAAGCCATGCCAGCTAGCGCGGTCTGGGAAGTGACAGAAACGAGACTCGGATGATGTACAATCCAATATACAGTCATTGGTGCAGCGCTGGCGCGCTGCGCGATCCGCCTGGTGCCTGCAAACTTACTTTCTTATCAATCTATTCCCATGTACATGGGAATAGATTGATAAGAATGTAAGTTTGCATTTTCCTGGTTTATGTTTTCCTTCACGATGCATGCATTGTTATAAGCAAATATTCCAGAAAACAAGTGGGCTGACCCTGGTGTTGGTTGGTACATCTGCAGCAAAATCTTAGGCTAGCTAGTTCCTAGCTACCTATTTTTTAGCTATCTATTTGCTAGCTACCTAATTCCTGGCTAGTTATAGCCTGGCCTTGCCAATTCCTAGCTAGCCAATTTCTGGCCTGCCAACTCCTTGCTAACTCCTAGCCAATTCCTAGCTTGCTATTTCCTAGCTAGTAGCTAGTTAATTCCTAGCCAGCCAAATCATAGCTGGTAACTAGTTCCTAGCCAGCCACATCCTAGCAAGCTAATCCCTAGCTAGCTGCCGTAATTCCTAGTCAACCAAATCCTAACTACCGTAGCTAATTTGTAGATAGTTTACTACTCCTGGCTAACCTACGAGAAAGGGGCATCTGCGAGGGCGTGTTCCGGCTTCGTCTGTACGCGGTAAACACGATTGGATGTATCAGGGATGTGTCAGGAAGATGCTTCCTTGTGTCACACTCATTGTGGAGTTGATGAAAAGACTGACGTTGCAGATAATGACACCATCTCAAATCGACACGCAACAGGGCCTGGCCTGCAATCGTGCCAACCAAGCGATGGCCCGATACAAACACAGAGACTCAAAAGCTTGAAGCAATCTAATTCAGTAACGCACCACTCCATGCGCTTGACATTGATGTCATTCAACACAGAAACCTTGGTCGTCACGATGCAAGTGTGTAACACTCTATCATGCAGTTGCTTGAACCTAGTTTCACATCAACACGAAGCCACAAGGTACTTTATACGATACCTTGTGCACACCGATGCTGCTCTACTCTAAATATCCAGCCTCAGCATTCACCTAGGAGGCGGAATCCCTCCACCACCCGCACTGATATCATCCAGCTCAATCGTCCTATACTTCTGCGAAACCAGCTCCGCCTGCACCTTCCTGGCTGTATCGGTAGCGCATCCGACTAAAATGAGGATGGACGTTCCAGCAAACCCCCGGAAGGCCGTGAGGTGAGTGATTCCTTCCACAAGAGCCGGCGCTGCTGCCATCGTGCCGAGAAACGCCGACCCGAGCACCGAAATGCGGGTGAGGACCTGGTGTTAAGTAGTTAAAGAAGCAAGAGTAATGGGGAGAAAGGGAGAAGGGGATGGGAGGGGGAAGGAGAAGCCAAAGAGGGAAAGGAAACACGAGTGGGGAAAGGGCTGAGAGGGAGCCGGCCAGGAGTCATCATGGAGTGTTTGCGAGGCCAAACGGAGCTTGGTGATGAGCATGGCTGCTGCCTTGCCAGGCCTGGTGTAGGCCACAGACGCGCCCTGCCTCTTGAGAAAGTGGGCCGTATGCCGGATTTACGAACGTACAATGAGTGAACAAGGGCGACTCACCTTGGTGATGAGTGCGGCTGTTGCTTTGCCGGGCCTCGTGTTGGGTACGGACGCACCCTGCCTCTTGAGCTGGTCGCTGACATCAGCAGGGTCGAGTTGCAGGAAGGTGTAGAAGTAGTTGAAGAAGGCAATGAGTGCCACGTTGGCGGGGAGGTAGAAGAAACCTGGGGATTAGCGGAACACATGGGGAGAGAGGATGTTGATTGAAGATGCAAGGAGAAAGAAAGGAGAAGGAGCGAGTAAGTGAGTTGCAGGAAGGTGTAGAAGTAGTTGAGAAAGGCGAACAGTGCCACGTTAGCAGGCAGATAGAAGAAACCTGGAGATTAGCGGAACACATGGGGAGAGAGGATGTTGATTGAAGATGCAAGGAGAAAGAAAGGAGAAGGAGCGAGTAAGTGAGTTGCAGGAAGGTGTGGAAGTAGTTGAGAAAGGCGAACAGTGCCACGTTAGCAGGCAGATAGAAGAAACCTGGAGATTAGCGGAACACATGGGGAGAGAGGATGTTGATTGAAGATGCAAGGAGAAAGAAAGGAGAAGGAGCGAGTAAGTGAGTTGCAGGAAGGTGTGGAAGTAGTTGAAGAATGCAATCAGTGCCACGTTGGCGGGGAGGTAGAAGAAACCTGGGGATGAGTGGAGCAGGGAAATCAAAGGGAGTGGAGGAGGGAGAGGGAGCAGGGAGAGGAGTGAGTGAGTTGCAGGAAGGTGTAGAAGTAGTTGAAGAATGCGATGAGTGCCACGTTGGCAGGCGGGTAGAGGAGACCTGGGGATTAGTGGAACACATGGTGGTAAAAAGAGTGAGAGGATGACGGAAAAGCAGAGTGATAAATTTGCAGTAAGGTGTAGAAGTAGTTGAAGAAAGCGATCAGTGCCACGTTGGCAGGCAGATAGATCGGTAAAGCGAGCTATGGAGTAGGGAGCAGGAGCAGTCTGGTTACCCTATTACTGACCTGTGGTTACCATGTAACATACCTCCAGGGTAGAGAGCTGTAGCAGCGGACTGGAAAGCAGCACTTCCGGTAAAGCGAGCGATGGAGTAGGGAGCAGCGAGGAGCGAGGAAGAGAAGATAATTGGCATGACTCCCGTTGAGTTGACCTGCAGAGGGGGGAAGAGGAAGAGACGGGTAGAGGGTAGATGAGAAAGATGTTGATCCGAGAGGGTGGAACATAAGAAAGACGAAGGAGAGAGGAGGAGAAGACGATTGGCATGACTTTCGTTGAGTTGACCTGCGGGGGGGATTAGAGGTTGGATAAGAGAAAAGAGGTGGTTGTGAGAGAGGGGTGGTTGGAGAGAATGGGTAGATGAGAGAGAAAGGAACGGCAGATAATTGAGAAGAGAGGAGTAAACGTGAGGCATGGCTTCTGTTGAGTTGAGTGTGGGGGTTGGTGGGGGGGGGGGGGGGAAGGGTGAGTGAGTGAGGGGTCGATGCAAGAAAAAGAAAGCGGTGTGTTACATTCGCGGGAGAGATGCTACCTTCGAGGGGGAGGTGTTACCTTCCAGGGGGAGGTGCTGCCTTTCAGGGGGAGGTGTAACCTTCCAGAGGGAGGTGCTGCCTTTCAGGGGGAGGTGTTGCCTTTCAGGGGGAGGTGTTACCTTGAATGGCAGGTACGCATTCCGCGTCTTGATGTTGTACCGAGACGCATAGTTGATTGGAATACGCCGCTCTGCCTCCTGCTCGGTGGAAGGGATTAAGTTGTGGTGGTGGTGGGGGTGGTGGGGGTGGTAGGGGGAGTGGGAAGAACGGAGAAAAGAGGACGGGGAATTTGAATTGGTTGTATCGAGACACATAGTTGACGGGAATACGCCGCTCTGCTTCCTGCTTGGAGGGAAAGGGGTAGTGGATAGGGTAGAGGGTGGGAGGGGAAGGGGAGGAGAGGGTAGAAAGAGAGTAGAGGGTGAGATGGTGCATGGGGTTGGTTGTACCGTTATGCGTAGTTGATGGGGATGTGACACTCTGCCTCCTACTCGGAGGGAAGGGGGAAGTTGGAGCTGGTTGTAGCGGCACATAGTTGTTGGGAATGCGACTCCCCGCCTTCTGCTCAGAAGGCTGGCAGGCAGGCCGGCAGAGAGGCATAGAGCAGGAACCCACCTGCACCCATTCACACCCACCTGCACGTAGACAATCCCAAGGACGAGCAGCAGGAAGGAGGCCAGCAGCAGCGCCTCGCCGGTAACGTTCCCCTGCTCAGACGCCTCTGTGATGCAGGTAGGCAGGCAGGAGGAATATAGCACACCCATCCACACCCATCTGTACCGCACCCACCTGCACGTAGACGATGCCGAACACGAGCAGCAGGAAGGACGCGAGCAGCAGCGCCTCTCCGGTCACATTCCCTTGTTCAGAAGCCTCTGTGATCGTCCTCCCAATGGACGCCGGCAGGTAGGAAACGATATTGGTGAAGATGAGCAGAGAGGTGCCGTTGCCGAGCTTGAGATCAGTGATCTTGTCTCCCAGCAGGATGACTGCCACGGATCCCAAAGTGAGGCCCGAGACGGCGGAGACTGCCCAGGCGACCGACGGGTCGTAGGCGTACTGCTGTAGATATGCCACCTGTCCGATAGCCTGGGAGGAGGGCGAGAGGCAGGGAGGAAGGGAGAGCTTGAGGTGGGTGATCCTGTCTCCCAGGAGGATGACTGCCACGGATCCGACAGTCAGGCCTGAGACGGCTGAGACTGCCCAGGCGACCGAGGGGTCGTAGGCGTACTGCTGCAGATATGCCACCTGTCCGATTGCCTGGGAGGAGGGCGAGAGGCAGGGAGGAAGGGAGAGCTTGAGGTGGGTGATCCTGTCTCCCAGGAGGATGACTGCCACGGATCCGACAGTCAGGCCTGAGACGGCTGAGACTGCCCAAGCGACTGATGGGTCGTATGCGTACTGCTGCAGGTAGGCCACTTGGCCGATAGCCTGGGGAGTGGAGGGGGGCAGGGAGAAGGAGAGCTTGAGGTGGGTCGGTGATCTTGTCTCCCCGCAGTGGGGCGACTGAGGGGTCGTATGCGTACAACTGGAGGTAGGCCACTTGGCCTATGGCCTGGGGAGTGGAGGGGGAAGAATAGGGTGGGAAGCGGTGGGGTTGGGTTGAGGAGGGGCGACTGAGTGGTCGTATGCGTACTGCTGGAGGTAGGCCACTTGGCCGATAGCCTGTTGGCAGTGGAGGGGGGCAGGGAGAAGGAGAGCTTGAGGTGGGTCGGTGATCTTGTCTCCCCGCACGATGACTGCTACGGACCCGAGGCGCTCGTAATCTAGTAAAGACAAGAAGAATGTAATGAAATCAGGTAACGTACCTGCAGGGCACCGAACGCCACAGCCATATACTTCATGTACTGCTGCGCTTTCTTCCTCCCCGCCTCCCCCTCCTTCTTCTGCAGATCCCCAATCTTAGGGTACAGCGTCCCCAGCAGCTGGAACACGATCTGAGCGTTGATATACGGCACGATGCCCAGCGAAAACAATCCCAGCCGTCCAATCCCGCCCCCTGAGAGCGTGTCTAGGGTGGCCAGGAATGAGCCCTCCCCCAGTTGCTCCTGGAAGGCGGAGATATCGACGCCCCACAGGGGAATGTAGATTCCCACGCGGGATAGCGCGAGCAGACCCAGGAGCATGAGGAATTTCTTGGGTAAATCGCCCTTGAAAAAGTCGCCGATGTCGATCTTGCTGTCCTCCACTGGAAAGGTGGTGCGGGTCAGGTCAGGGGAGAGGTGGAAACGGGAGGCAGAGGGGGGAGAAAGAGGAGGGAGAACAAGGCAGAGAAAGGCAGAGAGATATAGTGGGAAGGCGGGGAGGAGGGATGAGGGAGAGATTGAAGCAGGGGAGGAAAAAAGGAAGAGGGAATTCGGTTTAGTCTTTTTTTTTTCCCTCGCCCCCCCAAGTCCCCCAAGTCCCCCCCCCCCTCCCCCCCACCCGGGGGGGGATGGAGGGTGGGGGAGAGGGGACAGGGGGGACGGGAGGGTGGGAGGAAAGGAATAACATTCTGATGTATGTATTGAAATAATATCACAATCAAGAATCACGGAATATTCTCTCAAATTCAAGCTAGAATCAGCCAACCAGGCTTTGTGACTGTGACTGTAATGAAGGTGGCTGTAATGAAGGCGACTCGACCCGGGGGTTACTGCAATGAAGGCGACTCGACTCGGGGGTGACTGCAATGAAGGCGACTCGACTCGGGGGTGACTGCAATGAAGGCGACTCGACTCGGGGGTGACTGCAATGAAGGCGACTCGACTCGGGGGTGACTGTAATGAATGCGACTCGACCCGGGATTGACTGTAATGAAGGCGACTCGACTCGCGGTCGGCGTGACTATAACCAAGTTCAGGGCGGCATGGCCAGCCTCCTGTCAAGAGAGCATGCCACGTCAGCACTTGTTGCCACGTCAGCAGGACCTGGGTTGAGGTAGGGCCTGGGTCCGGTTCGGGTATGGGCTGCCTCACGTCTCTGCCCCGGGCCTCACGTCTCTGCCCCGGGCCTCACATCTCTGCCCCGGGCCTCACGTCTCTGCCCCGGGCCTCACATCTCTGCCCCGGGCCTCACATCTCTGCCCCGGGCCTCACGTCTCTGCCCCGGGCCTCACGTCTCTGCCCCGGGCCTCACATCTCTGCCCCGGGCCTCACATCTCTGCCCCGGGCCTCACATCTCTGCCCCGGGCCTCACATCTCTGCCCCGGGCCTCAATACCTACCATAACCAACAAACACCACCTAACATTATCTACCACAGAAACATAACATAATCCTAAACAGCACCTAAGTAAGTTTGATGCATTTTTTGTGAACATTTCTAGACATTACTACGGTACGGGGAATCTTTATCGCACCTGCAATTCGTAGTGGCACCTGTGCAAGGTCCACGGGGGGGAGGGGCGGGAGAGAGAGGAGGACGAGAGGAGAAGAGGAAATGCGGGTCAGGGGAGGTGCTATGAGGGGCAGGGCAGGGGGGTGATGATAGCAGCAAGCACTGCAATAAGAGCCGCAGCATAAGCAAGCAAAGCTCATTCCCCCCCACCTCCATGCGCATTTCCCCCCTGCACCGCACACCACCCCACCCCACCCAACACACTCACCATGTCGTGGCCGGCAGTTGGTGAGCTCGATGGAGGTGGCGACTCCCTCCCCCGCCATCTCCCTGACATGGCGGAACGGACGGCACGAGCAAACGGGGCAAAGCATGGGCAAAGGGGGCAACGCATGAGCAGAGGGGGAAAGGCATGGGCAGGGAGAACGGCATGAGCAGAGGGGGAAAGGCATGGGCAGGGAGAACGGCATGAGCAGAGGGGGAAAGGCATGCGCAAGGCGGGAATGCATGGGAAAGGCGGAAAGGCATGCGCAAGGCGGAAAGGCATGCGCAAGGCGGAAAGGCATGCGCAAGGCGGAAAGGCATGGGGAAGGCGGAAAGGCATGGGGAAGGCGGAAATGCATGGGCAAGGCGGAAAGGCAGGGGAAAGGCGGACATGCATGCGCAAGGCGGAAAGGCATGGGAAAAGGGGGGAACGGCGCGCTGACCTGCTCCGCGTGCAGCATGCTCGCCGGTGCTGTCCGCGCGGCCAGCAGCGCGCGCGGCGCTACCTGGTGAGCGCGGTGGGCGCCGTCACGGCGGGTGGAGCGGCGGCGGGTAGGCGCTGCTACGCTGGAGCCTGTCGTCCCTGCACAGCAAGGGGAGGGAGGGGCAGAGGGAGAGCGGAGGAAGGGACGGAGGGAGAGAGCAACGAGAAACCAAGAAAGGCAAGAGGGGTTGAGGACTGAAGTGAACTGTTTGGAAAGAATGCTCACGTAGGAGAGAAATGGGAAACATAACGGGAATTCCAGGGAGAAAACAGATAAAGAGGACAAAACGAAATAAAGTAATAAAACAGTAGAACAAAACGGATTTTGCATGGCGCATGGCACACATGCAGTCGCATGGCGCACATGCAATCGCGTGCTCATGAAATTTCAGCGTGCGCACATGCAGTGACAGTGCGCACCTGCTGGAGGGAGGAATAAGGGCCCTCCCACAGTGCGGGAGGGATCCGCCGCCTATGTTGAATCCCATGGGGGAAGGAATTCGAAGTCTAACGTGGGGAAGGCATTTAAGACCACTGATCGAGATGGGAGAGAAGGAATGGAGATCGGGAGAGCGGAAAAACGGAGACTAACGTGGGAGACGAAATTAGGAGATGAGCTGCGACCGATATGGGAGAGAATGAGTGGATCGGGAGAGCGGAGCTATGGAAAGTAACGTGGAAAATAATGGAGTTGAGATCGAAATGGGATGGGGATGGGATTGGGAGAGAAGCAAGGAAGGAGGAGTGGAGGAGATCGGGAGAGGAGTTGGAGAGGAGAGCAAGCAAGCAGATTTTGTTGACTCTCGCCACTGTAGCGCGAAATGACCAGCACCCTCGCCTCGGTCACCAAAACAGAAACGAATTGCAACTCTTCATACAAAAAAGGAACACTCCTCACCCTGGAACATGTAAACCTAAAACGAAAATAAGAGTGTACACCTAGAATCCACCTGCCCTGCACCAAAAAAACGATGGTGGGGACCAAATCTCAGAATTCACACACATTGCAAACCAAGTCGCGGAGCACAACACAAGCCTCCAATCCAAATCAAGTCGCTAAACACAAGTCGCGAAACATCCCACCGGTCCAATCAAACAGCACAAGCCATGCCAGCTAGCGCGGTCTGGGAAGTGACAGAAACGAGACTCGGATGATGTACAATCCAATATACAGTCATTGGTGCAGCGCTGGCGCGCTGCGCGATCCGCCTGGTGCCTGCAAACTTACTTTCTTATCAATCTATTCCCATGTACATGGGAATAGATTGATAAGAATGTAAGTTTGCATTTTCCTGGTTTATGTTTTCCTTCACGATGCATGCATTGTTATAAGCAAATATTCCAGAAAACAAGTGGGCTGACCCTGGTGTTGGTTGGTACATCTGCAGCAAAATCTTAGGCTAGCTAGTTCCTAGCTACCTATTTTTTAGCTATCTATTTGCTAGCTACCTAATTCCTGGCTAGTTATAGCCTGGCCTTGCCAATTCCTAGCTAGCCAATTTCTGGCCTGCCAACTCCTTGCTAACTCCTAGCCAATTCCTAGCTTGCTATTTCCTAGCTAGTAGCTAGTTAATTCCTAGCCAGCCAAATCATAGCTGGTAACTAGTTCCTAGCCAGCCACATCCTAGCAAGCTAATCCCTAGCTAGCTGCCGTAATTCCTAGTCAACCAAATCCTAACTACCGTAGCTAATTTGTAGATAGTTTACTACTCCTGGCTAACCTACGAGAAAGGGGCATCTGCGAGGGCGTGTTCCGGCTTCGTCTGTACGCGGTAAACACGATTGGATGTATCAGGGATGTGTCAGGAAGATGCTTCCTTGTGTCACACTCATTGTGGAGTTGATGAAAAGACTGACGTTGCAGATAATGACACCATCTCAAATCGACACGCAACAGGGCCTGGCCTGCAATCGTGCCAACCAAGCGATGGCCCGATACAAACACAGAGACTCAAAAGCTTGAAGCAATCTAATTCAGTAACGCACCACTCCATGCGCTTGACATTGATGTCATTCAACACAGAAACCTTGGTCGTCACGATGCAAGTGTGTAACACTCTATCATGCAGTTGCTTGAACCTAGTTTCACATCAACACGAAGCCACAAGGTACTTTATACGATACCTTGTGCACACCGATGCTGCTCTACTCTAAATATCCAACCTCAGCATTCACCTAGGAGGCGGAATCCCTCCACCACCCGCACTGATATCATCCAGCTCAATCGTCCTATACTTCTGCGAAACCAGCTCCGCCTGCACCTTCCTGGCTGTATCGGTAGCGCATCCGACTAAAATGAGGATGGACGTTCCAGCAAACCCCCGGAAGGCCGTGAGGTGAGTGATTCCTTCCACAAGAGCCGGCGCTGCTGCCATCGTGCCGAGAAACGCCGACCCGAGCACCGAAATGCGGGTGAGGACCTGGTGTTAAGTAGTTAAAGAAGCAAGAGTAATGGGGAGAAAGGGAGAAGGGGATGGGAGGGGGAAGGAGAAGCCAAAGAGGGAAAGGAAATACGAGTGGGGAAAGGGCTGAGAGGGAGCCGGCCAGGAGTCATCATGGAGTGTTTGCGAGGCCAAACGGAGCTTGGTGATGAGCATGGCTGCTGCCTTGCCAGGCCTGGTGTAGGCCACAGACGCGCCCTGCCTCTTGAGAAAGTGGGCCGTATGCCGGATTTACGAACGTACAATGAGTGAACAAGGGCGACTCACCTTGGTGATGAGTGCGGCTGTTGCTTTGCCGGGCCTCGTGTTGGGTACGGACGCACCCTGCCTCTTGAGCTGGTCGCTGACATCAGCAGGGTCGAGTTGCAGGAAGGTGTAGAAGTAGTTGAAGAAGGCAATGAGTGCCACGTTGGCGGGGAGGTAGAAGAAACCTGGGGATTAGCGGAACACATGGGGAGAGAGGATGTTGATTGAAGATGCAAGGAGAAAGAAAGGAGAAGGAGCGAGTAAGTGAGTTGCAGGAAGGTGTAGAAGTAGTTGAGAAAGGCGAACAGTGCCACGTTAGCAGGCAGATAGAAGAAACCTGGAGATTAGCGGAACACATGGGGAGAGAGGATGTTGATTGAAGATGCAAGGAGAAAGAAAGGAGAAGGAGCGAGTAAGTGAGTTGCAGGAAGGTGTGGAAGTAGTTGAGAAAGGCGAACAGTGCCACGTTAGCAGGCAGATAGAAGAAACCTGGAGATTAGCGGAACACATGGGGAGAGAGGATGTTGATTGAAGATGCAAGGAGAAAGAAAGGAGAAGGAGCGAGTAAGTGAGTTGCAGGAAGGTGTGGAAGTAGTTGAAGAATGCAATCAGTGCCACGTTGGCGGGGAGGTAGAAGAAACCTGGGGATGAGTGGAGCAGGGAAATCAAAGGGAGTGGAGGAGGGAGAGGGAGCAGGGAGAGGAGTGAGTGAGTTGCAGGAAGGTGTAGAAGTAGTTGAAGAATGCGATGAGTGCCACGTTGGCAGGCGGGTAGAGGAGACCTGGGGATTAGTGGAACACATGGCGGTAAAAAGAGTGAGAGGATGACGGAAAAGCAGAGTGATAAATTTGCAGTAAGGTGTAGAAGTAGTTGAAGAAAGCGATCAGTGCCACGTTGGCAGGCAGATAGATCGGTAAAGCGAGCTATGGAGTAGGGAGCAGGAGCAGTCTGGTTACCCTATTACTGACCTGTGGTTACCATGTAACATACCTCCAGGGTAGAGAGCTGTAGCAGCGGACTGGAAAGCAGCACTTCCGGTAAAGCGAGCGATGGAGTAGGGAGCAGCGAGGAGCGAGGAAGAGAAGATAATTGGCATGACTCCCGTTGAGTTGACCTGCAGAGGGGGGAAGAGGAAGAGACGGGTAGAGGGTAGATGAGAAAGATGTTGATCCGAAGAGGGTGGAACATAAGAAAGACGAAGGAGAGAGGAGGAGAAGACGATTGGCATGACTTTCGTTGAGTTGACCTGCGGGGGGGATTAGAGGTTGGATAAGAGAAAAGAGGTGGTTGTGAGAGAGGGGTGGTTGGAGAGAATGGGTAGATGAGAGAGAAAGGAACGGCAGATAATTGAGAAGAGAGGAGTAAACGTGAGGCATGGCTTCTGTTGAGTTGAGTGTGGGGGTTGGTGGGGGGGGGGGGGGGAAGGGTGAGTGAGTGAGGGGTCGATGCAAGAAAAAGAAAGCGGTGTGTTACATTCGCGGGAGAGATGCTACCTTCGAGGGGGAGGTGTTACCTTCCAGGGGGAGGTGCTGCCTTTCAGGGGGAGGTGTAACCTTCCAGAGGGAGGTGCTGCCTTTCAGGGGGAGGTGTTGCCTTTCAGGGGGAGGTGTTACCTTGAATGGCAGGTACGCATTCCGCGTCTTGATGTTGTACCGAGACGCATAGTTGATTGGAATACGCCGCTCTGCCTCCTGCTCGGTGGAAGGGATTAAGTTGTGGTGGTGGTGGGGGTGGTGGGGGTGGTAGGGGGAGTGGGAAGAACGGAGAAAAGAGGACGGGGAATTTGAATTGGTTGTATCGAGACACATAGTTGACGGGAATACGCCGCTCTGCTTCCTGCTTGGAGGGAAAGGGGTAGTGGATAGGGTAGAGGGTGGGAGGGGAAGGGGAGGAGAGGGTAGAAAGAGAGTAGAGGGTGAGATGGTGCATGGGGTTGGTTGTACCGTTATGCGTAGTTGATGGGGATGTGACACTCTGCCTCCTACTCGGAGGGAAGGGGGAAGTTGGAGCTGGTTGTAGCGGCACATAGTTGTTGGGAATGCGACTCCCCGCCTTCTGCTCAGAAGGCTGGCAGGCAGGCCGGCAGAGAGGCATAGAGCAGGAACCCACCTGCACCCATTCACACCCACCTGCACGTAGACAATCCCAAGGACGAGCAGCAGGAAGGAGGCCAGCAGCAGCGCCTCGCCGGTAACGTTCCCCTGCTCAGACGCCTCTGTGATGCAGGTAGGCAGGCAGGAGGAATATAGCACACCCATCCACACCCATCTGTACCGCACCCACCTGCACGTAGACGATGCCGAACACGAGCAGCAGGAAGGACGCGAGCAGCAGCGCCTCTCCGGTCACATTCCCTTGTTCAGAAGCCTCTGTGATCGTCCTCCCAATGGACGCCGGCAGGTAGGAAACGATATTGGTGAAGATGAGCAGAGAGGTGCCGTTGCCGAGCTTGAGATCAGTGATCTTGTCTCCCAGCAGGATGACTGCCACGGATCCCAAAGTGAGGCCCGAGACGGCGGAGACTGCCCAGGCGACCGACGGGTCGTAGGCGTACTGCTGTAGATATGCCACCTGTCCGATAGCCTGGGAGGAGGGCGAGAGGCAGGGAGGAAGGGAGAGCTTGAGGTGGGTGATCCTGTCTCCCAGGAGGATGACTGCCACGGATCCGACAGTCAGGCCTGAGACGGCTGAGACTGCCCAGGCGACCGAGGGGTCGTAGGCGTACTGCTGCAGATATGCCACCTGTCCGATTGCCTGGGAGGAGGGCGAGAGGCAGGGAGGAAGGGAGAGCTTGAGGTGGGTGATCCTGTCTCCCAGGAGGATGACTGCCACGGATCCGACAGTCAGGCCTGAGACGGCTGAGACTGCCCAAGCGACTGATGGGTCGTATGCGTACTGCTGCAGGTAGGCCACTTGGCCGATAGCCTGGGGAGTGGAGGGGGGCAGGGAGAAGGAGAGCTTGAGGTGGGTCGGTGATCTTGTCTCCCCGCAGTGGGGCGACTGAGGGGTCGTATGCGTACAACTGGAGGTAGGCCACTTGGCCTATGGCCTGGGGAGTGGAGGGGGAAGAATAGGGTGGGAAGCGGTGGGGTTGGGTTGAGGAGGGGCGACTGAGTGGTCGTATGCGTACTGCTGGAGGTAGGCCACTTGGCCGATAGCCTGTTGGCAGTGGAGGGGGGCAGGGAGAAGGAGAGCTTGAGGTGGGTCGGTGATCTTGTCTCCCCGCACGATGACTGCTACGGACCCGAGGCGCTCGTAATCTAGTAAAGACAAGAAGAATGTAATGAAATCAGGTAACGTACCTGCAGGGCACCGAACGCCACAGCCATATACTTCATGTACTGCTGCGCTTTCTTCCTCCCCGCCTCCCCCTCCTTCTTCTGCAGATCCCCAATCTTAGGGTACAGCGTCCCCAGCAGCTGGAACACGATCTGAGCGTTGATATACGGCACGATGCCCAGCGAAAACAATCCCAGCCGTCCAATCCCGCCCCCTGAGAGCGTGTCTAGGGTGGCCAGGAATGAGCCCTCCCCCAGTTGCTCCTGGAAGGCGGAGATATCGACGCCCCACAGGGGAATGTAGATTCCCACGCGGGATAGCGCGAGCAGACCCAGGAGCATGAGGAATTTCTTGGGTAAATCGCCCTTGAAAAAGTCGCCGATGTCGATCTTGCTGTCCTCCACTGGAAAGGTGGTGCGGGTCAGGTCAGGGGAGAGGTGGAAACGGGAGGCAGAGGGGGGAGAAAGAGGAGGGAGAACAAGGCAGAGAAAGGCAGAGAGATATAGTGGGAAGGCGGGGAGGAGGGATGAGGGAGAGATTGAAGCAGGGGAGGAAAAAAGGAAGAGGGAATTCGGTTTAGTCTTTTTTTTTTCCCTCGCCCCCCCAAGTCCCCCAAGTCCCCCCCCCCCCTCCCCCCCACCCGGGGGGGATGGAGGGTGGGGGAGAGGGGACAGGGGGGACGGGAGGGTGGGAGGAAAGGAATAACATTCTGATGTATGTATTGAAATAATATCACAATCAAGAATCACGGAATATTCTCTCAAATTCAAGCTAGAATCAGCCAACCAGGCTTTGTGACTGTGACTGTAATGAAGGTGGCTGTAATGAAGGCGACTCGACCCGGGGGTTACTGCAATGAAGGCGACTCGACTCGGGGGTGACTGCAATGAAGGCGACTCGACTCGGGGGTGACTGCAATGAAGGCGACTCGACTCGGGGGTGACTGCAATGAAGGCGACTCGACTCGGGGGTGACTGTAATGAATGCGACTCGACCCGGGATTGACTGTAATGAAGGCGACTCGACTCGCGGTCGGCGTGACTATAACCAAGTTCAGGGCGGCATGGCCAGCCTCCTGTCAAGAGAGCATGCCACGTCAGCACTTGTTGCCACGTCAGCAGGACCTGGGTTGAGGTAGGGCCTGGGTCCGGTTCGGGTATGGGCTGCCTCACGTCTCTGCCCCGGGCCTCACGTCTCTGCCCCGGGCCTCACATCTCTGCCCCGGGCCTCACGTCTCTGCCCCGGGCCTCACATCTCTGCCCCGGGCCTCACATCTCTGCCCCGGGCCTCACGTCTCTGCCCCGGGCCTCACGTCTCTGCCCCGGGCCTCACATCTCTGCCCCGGGCCTCACATCTCTGCCCCGGGCCTCACATCTCTGTCCCGGGCCTCACATCTCTGCCCCGGGCCTCAATACCTACCATAACCAACAAACACCACCTAACATTATCTACCACAGAAACATAACATAATCCTAAACAGCACCTAAGTAAGTTTGATGCATTTTTTGTGAACATTTCTAGACATTACTACGGTACGGGGAATCTTTATCGCACCTGCAATTCGTAGTGGCACCTGTGCAAGGTCCACGGGGGGGAGGGGCGGGAGAGAGAGGAGGACGAGAGGAGAAGAGGAAATGCGGGTCAGGGGAGGTGCTATGAGGGGCAGGGCAGGGGGGTGATGATAGCAGCAAGCACTGCAATAAGAGCCGCAGCATAAGCAAGCAAAGCTCATTCCCCCCCACCTCCATGCGCATTTCCCCCCTGCACCGCACACCACCCCACCCCACCCAACACACTCACCATGTCGTGGCCGGCAGTTGGTGAGCTCGATGGAGGTGGCGACTCCCTCCCCCGCCATCTCCCTGACATGGCGGAACGGACGGCACGAGCAAACGGGGCAAAGCATGGGCAAAGGGGGCAACGCATGAGCAGAGGGGGAAAGGCATGGGCAGGGAGAACGGCATGAGCAGAGGGGGAAAGGCATGGGCAGGGAGAACGGCATGAGCAGAGGGGGAAAGGCATGCGCAAGGCGGGAATGCATGGGAAAGGCGGAAAGGCATGCGCAAGGCGGAAAGGCATGCGCAAGGCGGAAAGGCATGCGCAAGGCGGAAAGGCATGGGGAAGGCGGAGAGGCATGGGGAAGGCGGAAATGCATGGGCAAGGCGGAAAGGCAGGGGAAAGGCGGACATGCATGCGCAAGGCGGAAAGGCATGGGAAAAGGGGGGAACGGCGCGCTGACCTGCTCCGCGTGCAGCATGCTCGCCGGTGCTGTCCGCGCGGCCAGCAGCGCGCGCGGCGCTACCTGGTGAGCGCGGTGGGCGCCGTCACGGCGGGTGGAGCGGCGGCGGGTAGGCGCTGCTACGCTGGAGCCTGTCGTCCCTGCACAGCAAGGGGAGGGAGGGGCAGAGGGAGAGCGGAGGAAGGGACGGAGGGAGAGAGCAACGAGAAACCAAGAAAGGCAAGAGGGGTTGAGGACTGAAGTGAACTGTTTGGAAAGAATGCTCACGTAGGAGAGAAATGGGAAACATAACGGGAATTCCAGGGAGAAAACAGATAAAGAGGACAAAACGAAATAAAGTAATAAAACAGTAGAACAAAACGGATTTTGCATGGCGCATGGCACACATGCAGTCGCATGGCGCACATGCAATCGCGTGCTCATGAAATTTCAGCGTGCGCACATGCAGTGACAGTGCGCACCTGCTGGAGGGAGGAATAAGGGCCCTCCCACAGTGCGGGAGGGATCCGCCGCCTATGTTGAATCCCATGGGGGAAGGAATTCGAAGTCTAACGTGGGGAAGGCATTTAAGACCACTGATCGAGATGGGAGAGAAGGAATGGAGATCGGGAGAGCGGAAAAATGGAGACTAACGTGGGAGACGAAATTAGGAGATGAGCTGCGACCGATATGGGAGAGAATGAGTGGATCGGGGGAGCGGAGCTATGGAAAGTAACGTGGAAAATAATGGAGTTGAGATCGAAATGGGATGGGGATGGGATTGGGAGAGAAGCAAGGAAGGAGGAGTGGAGGAGATCGGGAGAGGAGTTGGAGAGGAGAGCAAGCAAGCAGATTTTGTTGACTCTCGCCACTGTAGCGCGAAATGACCAGCACCCTCGCCTCGGTCACCAAAACAGAAACGAATTGCAACTCTTCATACAAAAAAGGAACACTCCTCACCCTGGAACATGTAAACCTAAAACGAAAATAAGAGTGTACACCTAGAATCCACCTGCCCTGCACCAAAAAAACGATGGTGGGGACCAAATCTCAGAATTCACACACATTGCAAACCAAGTCGCGGAGCACAACACAAGCCTCCAATCCAAATCAAGTCGCTAAACACAAGTCGCGAAACATCCCACCGGTCCAATCAAACAGCACAAGCCATGCCAGCTAGCGCGGTCTGGGAAGTGACAGAAACGAGACTCGGATGATGTACAATCCAATATACAGTCATTGGTGCAGCGCTGGCGCGCTGCGCGATCCGCCTGGTGCCTGCAAACTTACTTTCTTATCAATCTATTCCCATGTACATGGGAATAGATTGATAAGAATGTAAGTTTGCATTTTCCTGGTTTATGTTTTCCTTCACGATGCATGCATTGTTATAAGCAAATATTCCAGAAAACAAGTGGGCTGACCCTGGTGTTGGTTGGTACATCTGCAGCAAAATCTTAGGCTAGCTAGTGAGAAAAGTAGAACGAGAATGGATGAACTATGAATGAAGTGAGTACATATAGGAAACCCTAATTGAGTTGTACCCCCTATGGGATACCCCACTATAGCCTACACAACAGCATAAGCTATATATATGTTCTGACACACCCCCATAGGCAAAGTGGGGGAGAACAAGGGGTCACAAGACCAGTCAAGCAAAGCAGAGCAAGCTCAGGGTGGATCACAAAGTCACCACACAGTCCGAGCACAACGACAGGGCAACAGGGCCAGTTCACATGCAGGAGTACACATATATATATAGAGCTAGACAAGCAAGAGCAGGTATATATATGTGACAGTACAAGCAAGGTCAAGAAGAGAGCAAGTGAGGCAAGACAGGTACAAGACCCAGCTGGGTGCAGAAGCGCTGATGGTCACAAGGCGCAAGTGCCTTGGTGAACACATCAGCAGTGTTGGCCTCAGAGGCCACGTACGCAAGTCGCAACTGACCACGCTGCTGCAGCTCACGAGCAAGAAAGTAACGGAGAGCAATGTGCTTCGTTCTGTGCTCCAAGCGCTGCTCTCGACACAAGGCCAGCATGGCCTTGTTGTCTACGTACAACACTGGAGGAGAACGAGGCGGCTCTCCAAGGTCAGTCAGCAGGTAGGTAAGCCAGCGAAGCTCCTGTGCAGCCATGGCCCCGGCGTAGATCTCAGCCTCACAACTGGAGCTGAGAACAGAGGACGAGCGAGTAGCCCGCCACGAGACAGAGCCGGAACCAAGACTGAAGGTGTAACCCTGCGACGACCGCTGTGTAGCCTGGTCGTCTGCCCAAGAAGCGTCCGCGTGCCCAGTGAGGACCACTGGACTCCGCCCTCCAAGCACTAGCCCCATGCCCGACGTACTGCACAAGTAGCGCAACACCCTCTTCGCTGCAGCCATGTGCTCTGGTCGGTGTCTCCCAGGAGCAACATAGCGTGAAAGAATGCTAAGAGGGTATGCAAGGTCAGGTCGTGTGCAGGTCATCAGGTACATGAGGCAGCCAACAAGCTCTGGGTACGGGCCACTCGACTCTACGGACTCATCCGAAGGCAGAGCTGAGAGCGAGTGGCGAGTAGACAGAGGAGTGGCCTGAGGCGAGGAGTACGTGAAGCCGAAGCGCTGAAGGACCTGCTGCACCATGTGTGACTGAGTCAAGGTAATGGTGCGGCGTGCTCTGTCCCGAGTGATCTGCAAGCCAAGGTAGCTGCGCAGTTCACCCAGGTCTGTGCACGTGTGTCTCTTCTGCAGCTCGGACTTCACGTAGGCTAGTCCAGCAGTGTCAGCTGTGGCAAAGACCAAGTCGTCGACGTACACGAGGACGTAGAACGGCGGCAAAGAAGTGTCGGTGCGCAGAAACAACGACGGGTCAGCAGTAGAGGGAGCAAACCCGAGAGCCGCAAGCGTAGTCCTCAGTGTGTCGTGCCACTCACGCGGTGCCTGGCGGAGACCGTAGACTGGCCGTCGGAGGCTCCACTGGGTGCCAGGAGGAAAAGTCCCAGTGAAGCCAGGTGGACGGCGCAGCCAGATCTCCTCGTGCAGGCTACCCTGCAAGAAAGCAGTACTGAAGTCAAGAGAGTGGAGCTCGTAGTCGCGCTGAGCGGCTATGTGCAGCAGCACCCGAAGAGTGGTCATCTTCGGGGTGGGAGAGAAGGTCTGAAAGTAGTCAACTCCCTGCCGCTGACTGAAGCCACGAGCGACGTACCGCGCCTTGAAGACAGGTGGAGAGCCCGGCGGCCGCTTCACCCTGAAGATCCACATGCCACTGACGATGTTCGCCCCAGGAGGGGGAACCGCGTCAACGTAGGTGCCTGTGGACTTCCAGGACGCCATCTCTGCATCCATAGCTGCCTGCCACTGAGAGGAGTAGGGACCCTCTACGGCCTCCGCGTAAGAGCGCGGAGTCGGGATGTCTAGTGCATCCGGGTCTCCCTCAGGGGCAAGTAGTACGGACGCGAGATGAGGTGAAGCAGCAGCCAGACACCGGAACTCCTCCTGCCTGTCCTCAAGGACGTCCGTGCCAAGAGCACACTCACCCCCGACGGACGGAGGACAGACAGACGCAGACTCAGCAACAAGACCGGCAGCGTAGTCTAGACGACAGCGAGCAGCAAAGTCGACGAGCTCAGCAACAAGCGCAGACGCAGCAGTGGACTCAAAAGAGGGGTCAGTGACGACAGTAGCAAGGAGACGTGTGACAGCAGGACTGGCAGCACGAAGAGAGTCCGACTCCGGGTCAGGAAGAGCAGGAAGAGAGGACTCAGGAGGAGAAGGCAAAGGGGCACGCAGAGGAGCAGTGGACGGACGCAGAGACATCCGGTGCGTGCCAGGGACAGGAGGAGGACGCTGACGCGAACCACGACCACTAGTGCGAGCAGCACGGACAGGCGACGCAGGGCGAGACGCAGGCTCACGACGCTCAGCAAGACCTCCAGTAGGACCAGTGTAGGGAGAAGGAGCGGGCAGTGGGGAGGCCGGCTGTAACTGTAACTGTGACAGGACAGGCTGTGGACACTCTAAGGGAGGAGGAGGACCAGTAGAAGGCGGGAGACCAAGAACCTGCTGAAGGAGCGGAACGAAGTACGGTCTAGGCCGCGCGGCGACTCCAGACACAGCAGGGACAGCACCAGTACCCCCAGCGGCAGCACCAGCGCCAGCAGCACCTCCAGCTCCAGGACCTCCAGCAGCACCAGTAGCACCCCCAGCAGGACCGCCTCCAGGACCGACAGCAGTAGCCTCAGCGCCAACGCCCTCAGCAGCTCCAGCTCCAGCACCTCCGGGACCCACGGCACCAGCACCCTCAGCAGCCGAAGAACCTCCAGCTCCAGCAGCACGCCTCCAGCGCCGGGCAAACCACTCGCGCAGCTCCTGTGGAGAGAGGGGCTCCCGCCGAGGTGAAGCACCCGGAGAACCGCCAGGTCCCGCACCGCCAGACGCCACAAGGGGAGGTCCAGTGGCCGCAGGCTCCGCAGCTCCAGGCTCAGCACCTCCAGACGCAGCACCCCCTGGCTCAGCACCCCCAGACTCCGCACCCCCAGGCTCAGCACCCCCAGTCGCAGCACCCCCAGGCTCAGCACTCCCAGACTCCGCACCCCCAGGCTCAGCACCCCCAGTCGCAGTACCCCCAGGCTCAGCACCCCCAGACTCAGCACCCCCAGGCTCAGCACCCGCAGCAGGACCAGAGTCACCAGCAACCTCGACCGGCTCGACTGCGTCTACCTGGGACACACCTGAAGGGGCAGGACCCTGAGGGGGAAGGGGGTCTACCGGGGGGGGACCTGGCACAAGGAAGTGCGGTGGCGGGGGGAGGGAAGGAGTGCGGTAGGGGAAGAGGCGGTAGAAGGGGACTGACTCGTCGAACGTGACGTCCTGGGAGGACAGAACACGACGAGAGGAGGGGTGGTAGAACTGCCACCCTGGAGCGTCAGGGGGGAAGCCGAGGAAGACACAGGGAGCAGCACGAGGGGACAGCTTGTCCGCAGACAAGTCGCGGACAAACGCCCGAGATCCCCAGACACGGAACGCAGACGCATCGCCGACCTTCCCCGTCCACAGCAGAGCTGGGGAGGTCTCCGGCCGGGAGACCCTGGGGTGAAGGTTGATCTGATGCGCCGCGTACCGAACCGCAAACGGCCACAGAAAATGGGGGGCAGCCGCATGCATCATGGACGTACGAGCGACGTCCATGACCATGCCAATGCGGCGCTCAGCAATCCCATTTTGCTGTGGAGAGTCCGGAAGCGTAAAGGTCTGGCGGATGCCTCGTGCACGACAGTAGGCTCGCAGAAGGCCAGAGGAGAACTCTCCACCTCGGTCAGAGTGCAGACGCAGAACAGGAAAGTCCGAGCCGAAGCTCCTCCTGAGCTGGAGACGAGCTGCGCGGATCCAGTCGATCAACACCTCAGTGACATCACCCTTGCTGCGCAAGGGGAAGACTGTGGTGTAACGCGAGTAGTCGTCAACCACCAGCAGGAAGTAGCGCTCGTGACCCTGCCCACGGACGCGGGCGGGGCCCCACACGTCCATGTGAAGCGTCTGCAGAGGAGCCTCTGTCGGGGGAAACTGGGAGGAGTGAGGGGCAGCCCGGAGCCGCCCCTCGACACAGGGGACACAAGAAGGTCCGGGTCCCGAAGGAAGGGGAGGGAGAGACCGGGGAAGACCAGAGACAAGGACACGGGAAGCCATGCCCCGAAGACGAAGCAAGGAGGGGTGGCCAAGACGGTGGTGCCACAGGAGAGTCTCGTGAGACAGGCGGCGACACGAGCAGGGGGCAGACTCAGGACCAGACCTGGACGCAGCAGCAAACACCTGACCCGACGCAGCTACCTGGCCAGACGCAGGGACAGGAGGAGACGCAGTGGTCAGTGTGTAGAGACTCGACCCTGGCCGACGCGAGAACGTGGCCAGGTGTCGGCCTGTGCGGGCATCCGAGCAGTGGGTCACCCGCTGACTCGCAGGAGTAAACTGGTGAACCCCCGCATCCTGCAGGTCAGCACCACTCACCAAGTTCGTCGAGAACGAGGGGAGGTACAGACCAGACAAGGTGCCCGAGGGGGCAGCCGGACACGGGAGGACAGTGGAGAAGTGAGAGAGGACAGGACCCCCAGAGGGGTCAGCCAGGGAGACTGCAACCGGCCGGCCAAGCGGCGTGAGTGTGGTGCGGTCTCGAAAGAAGGAGCGAGAAGCCCCTGAGTCAAGTGTGAAGGTGAGGGAGGCCGAAGCCGACGCAGTACCTGAGAGCGCAGCCTCACCAGTACCTGAGAGTGCAGACGCACTGGCACCTAGAGCAGCAGCCGCAGAAGTACCTGGCGCAGCAGTACCAATGCCCGGGTCGGGCGGGAGACACTGGTAACAGTCACCCTCCTCACTAATAGTCACAGCATACATGGCAGCAAGGATAGCATCAAAGTCAAGATCAAAGACAGCTACGCCAGCCCTAGACAGCTCTCCCCAACGGGGAATCTCACTGGCCTCGGGGAACTGCTGACGCCAAGCGTCCGTCAGGCGGGCAAAGCAGCGCTGGGTGGTGTGGGCACCCCCACACTGCTCACCCGCGCGGTCGCCGGAACGAAGGACGTAGGTGCACGGACCAAAACCCCCACCCCGCTGACGCTGCGTGTACCACTCACGGAGCTGCTGGGGCGGGGGGATGTCCCGCGAACGCTGCTGCTGCTGCTGCTGCTGCTGACGCTGGCCACCACCAGGGCCGCTACGCTGCGGGGCACCACCCCGACCAGCTCCACCCCCTCCGCCACCGCTGCCTCCACCTCCACCACCACCGCTGCCTCCGCTCCCACCGCTGCCGCCACCGCCGCCTCCTCCTCCGCTGCTGCCACCTCCACCACCGCCCCCGCCACCACTCCCACCGCCACCCCCACTCCCTCCTCCGCCTCCACCGCCTCCTCCACCGCCCCCGCCAGCTCCACCCGCGCCCTTGCCCCCCTTGCCCCTGCCAGGGCGGCGTCTCCCGCTAGGGGCAGACGCCGCGCAGACCGACTCAAGACCAAGCAGGTCGGCAGCAGCAGCAGAGGCAACAGAGGGCAGCAGGGGGGAAGGAGAACACCCCTCAAAGATGGGGGTGCGAGGGTCACCACGAGAGGCTCCTACAGCGACGATGCTCTTCTCCGCCGCCAGGAGGGACTTCTCGAGGAGGTCGACAGTGAGAGTGGTGGGACAGACCGAGAGGTAGTGGTCCCTGACTACGCGAAGGGAGTCAGGGAGGCGTGTGACGATGTAATAGAGAGTGATGTACATGGGGGGGGGGTTCTTGGCGCAGAACTCAGCAGGAAGGGCGGCGCGGGTAGCGAGTGTCACTAGTGCGGAGGTGCGTAATGAGGTCAGCGACAGTGGGAAAGGCAGCAAGGTCAGGAAAGAGGTACGGTAGCATGAGGCGGCTCAGGGCAGCAGTGGCAGGGGAAGAGTAGCGCGCAACTACAGCGTCGTACAAGGTCTGAGCACTCTTGTACTGACTAAAGTGCGCGCGCTCAGTGGTAGGCAGGTGGCGACGCACAGCAAGACGTGCAGCAGCATCGCGGGTGGCCCACTGAGAGCGAACAGTGGGGTCAGCATCAGTAGCAGGGGCAGGAGAGGCGCCAGAGGTGAGGTCAAAGAGGGAAAGACCGTCCGCCCTATCGCACTGTAAGAACAGCTGCAGGTCGTCGACCCAGACCTCAAAGTCAATGGCTCGACCCTCAGCGTCAAAAGCGAGGACACTAGGGGTAGCCATGACGACGACAGACGAGCAGTGCAAGCAGTAGGGGAAGGGCACGCAGGGACAGTGGGGCTGTGCTCACCGGACAGGGCAGGTCGGGCGGCCCGGCAGTAGGGCGGCTCGGCTGCTCAGCGGCTCGGCGGCAGTGCGGCTCGGCGCCCGGGTGGCTCGGCGGCAGGGCGGCTCGGCTCCCGGGCGGCTCGGCGGCAGGGCGGCTCGGCTCCCGGGCGGCTCGGCGGTAGGGCGGCTCGGCTCCCGGGCGGCTCGGCGGCAGGGCGGCTCGGCTCCCGGCGGTTCTGCTGCTAGGCGGCTCCCGCAGGTAGGGCGGCGGTTGGGCCGCAGGTAGGGCGGCGGTCGGGCCGTAGGTAGGGCAGCGGGCTGGCCGCAGGTAGGGTGGCGGGCGGGCCGCAGGCAGGGCGGCGGTAGGGCCGCAAGTAGGGCGGCGGGCGGGCCGCAGTTTAGGGCGGCGGGCGAGCCGCAGGTAGGGCGGCGAGTAGGCCGCAGGTAGGGCGGCGTGGGGCCGGGACGGGCGGCGCGCGGGCGTCGAGGGGGCCGGGACGGGCGGCGCGCGGGCGTCGAGGGCCGGGACGGGCGGCGCGCGGGCGTCTAGGGGTCGGGCCGGGTGGCGCGCGGGCGTCTAGGGGCCGGGACGGGCGGCGCGCGGGCGTCTAGGGGCCGGGACGGGCGGCGCGCGGGCGTCTAGGGGCCGGGACGGGCGGCTCACGGGCGGCGAGGGGCCGGGACGGGCGGCGCGCGGGCGTCGAGGGGCCGGCACGGGCGGCGCGCGGGCGTCGAGGGGCCGGGACGGGCGGCGCTCGGGCGTCTAGGGGCCGGGACGGGCGGCGCGCGGGCGTCTAGGGGCCGGGACGGGCGGCGCGCGGGCGTCTAGGGGCCGGGCCGGGTGGCGCACTGGCGTCTAGGGGCCGGGACGGGCGGCGCGCAGGCGTCTAAGGGCCGTGACGAGCGGCTAAAGGGGCCACTAGGGGCCAAGAGAGAGGGGAGCGCGACTCGGGTAGGGGCAGAGTGCGCTCCGGGCAGGAAAAAAAAACGGTGGGCCCTAGGAACAGTTCCCACGAGGGAACCGGCTCGATACCATGAGAAAAGTAGAACGAGAATGGATGAACTATGAATGAAGTGAGTACATATAGGAAACCCTAATTGAGTTGTACCCCCTATGGGATACCCCACTATAGCCTACACAACAGCATAAGCTATATATATGTTCTGACAGCTAGTTCCTAGCTACCTATTTTTTAGCTATCTATTTGCTAGCTACCTAATTCCTGGCTAGTTATAGCCTGGCCTTGCCAATTCCTAGCTAGCCAATTTCTGGCCTGCCAACTCCTTGCTAACTCCTAGCCAATTCCTAGCTTGCTATTTCCTAGCTAGTAGCTAGTTAATTCCTAGCCAGCCAAATCATAGCTGGTAACTAGTTCCTAGCCAGCCACATCCTAGCAAGCTAATCCCTAGCTAGCTGCCGTAATTCCTAGTCAACCAAATCCTAACTACCGTAGCTAATTTGTAGATAGTTTACTACTCCTGGCTAACCTACGAGAAAGGGGCATCTGCGAGGGCGTGTTCCGGCTTCGTCTGTACGCGGTAAACACGATTGGATGTATCAGGGATGTGTCAGGAAGATGCTTCCTTGTGTCACACTCATTGTGGAGTTGATGAAAAGACTGACGTTGCAGATAATGACACCATCTCAAATCGACACGCAACAGGGCCTGGCCTGCAATCGTGCCAACCAAGCGATGGCCCGATACAAACACAGAGACTCAAAAGCTTGAAGCAATCTGATTCAGTAACGCACCACTCCATGCGCTTGACATTGATGTCATTCAACACAGAAACCTTGGTCGTCACGATGCAAGTGTGTAACTCTATCATGCAGTTGCTTGAACCTAGTTTCACATCAACACGAAGCCACAAGGTACTTTATACGATACCTTGTGCACACCGATGCTGCTCTACTCTAAATATCCAACCTCAGCATTCACCTAGGAGGCGGAATCCCTCCACCACCCGCACTGATATCATCCAGCTCAATCGTCCTATACTTCTGCGAAACCAGCTCCGCCTGCACCTTCCTGGCTGTATCGGTAGCGCATCCGACTAAAATGAGGATGGACGTTCCAGCAAACCCCCGGAAGGCCGTGAGGTGAGTGATTCCTTCCACAAGAGCCGGCGCTGCTGCCATCGTGCCGAGAAACGCCGACCCGAGCACCGAAATGCGGGTGAGGACCTGGTGTTAAGTAGGTAAAGAAGCAAGAGTACTGGGGAGAAAGGGAGAAGGGGATGGGAGGGGGAAGGAGAAGCCAAAGAGGGAAAGGAAACACGAGTGGGGAAAGGGCTGAGAGGGAGCCGGCCAGGAGTCATCATGGAGTGTTTGCGAGGCCAAACGGAGCTTGGTGATGAGCATGGCTGCTGCCTTGCCAGGCCTGGTGTAGGCCACAGACGCGCCCTGCCTCTTGAGAAAGTGGGCCGTATGCCGGATTTACGAACGTACAATGAGTGAACAAGGCGACTCACCTTGGTGATGAGTGCGGCTGTTGCTTTGCCGGGCCTCGTGTTGGGTACGGACGCACCCTGCCTCTTGAGCTGGTCGCTGACATCAGCAGGGTCGAGTTGCAGGAAGGTGTAGAAGTAGTTGAAGAAGGCAATGAGTGCCACGTTGGCGGGGAGGTAGAAGAAACCTGGGGATTAGCGGAACACATGGGGAGAGAGGATGTTGATTGAAGATGCAAGGAGAAAGAAAGGAGAAGGAGCGAGTAAGTGAGTTGCAGGAAGGTGTAGAAGTAGTTGAGAAAGGCGAACAGTGCCACGTTAGCAGGCAGATAGAAGAAACCTGGAGATTAGCGGAACACATGGGGAGAGAGGATGTTGATTGAAGATGCAAGGAGAAAGAAAGGAGAAGGAGCGAGTAAGTGAGTTGCAGGAAGGTGTGGAAGTAGTTGAGAAAGGCGAACAGTGCCACGTTAGCAGGCAGATAGAAGAAACCTGGAGATTAGCGGAACACATGGGGAGAGAGGATGTTGATTGAAGATGCAAGGAGAAAGAAAGGAGAAGGAGCGAGTAAGTGAGTTGCAGGAAGGTGTGGAAGTAGTTGAAGAATGCAATCAGTGCCACGTTGGCGGGGAGGTAGAAGAAACCTGGGGATGAGTGGAGCAGGGAAATCAAAGGGAGTGGAGGAGGGAGAGGGAGCAGGGAGAGGAGTGAGTGAGTTGCAGGAAGGTGTAGAAGTAGTTGAAGAATGCGATGAGTGCCACGTTGGCAGGCGGGTAGAGGAGACCTGGGGATTAGTGGAACACATGGTGGTAAAAAGAGTGAGAGGATGACGGAAAAGCAGAGTGATAAATTTGCAGTAAGGTGTAGAAGTAGTTGAAGAAAGCGATCAGTGCCACGTTGGCAGGCAGATAGATCGGTAAAGCGAGCTATGGAGTAGGGAGCAGGAGCAGTCTGGTTACCCTATTACTGACCTGTGGTTACCATGTAACATACTTCCAGGGTAGAGAGCTGTAGCAGCGGACTGGAAAGCAGCACTTCCGGTAAAGCGAGCGATGGAGTAGGGAGCAGCGAGGAGCGAGGAAGAGAAGATAATTGGCATGACTCCCGTTGAGTTGACCTGCAGAGGGGGGAAGAGGAAGAGACGGGTAGAGGGTAGATGAGAAAGATGTTGATTCGAGAGGGTGGAACATAAGAAAGACGAAGGAGAGAGGAGGAGAAGACGATTGGCATGACTTTCGTTGAGTTGACCTGCGGGGGGGATTAGAGGTTGGATAAGAGAAAAAGAGGTGGTTGTGAGAGAGGGGTGGTTGGAGAGAATGGGTAGATGAGAGAGAAAGGAACGGCAGATAATTGAGAAGAGAGGAGTAAACGTGAGGCATGGCTTCTGTTGAGTTGAGTGTGGGGGTTGGTGGGGGGGGGGGGGGGGAAGGGTGAGTGAGTGAGGGGTCGATGCAAGAAAAAGAAAGCGGTGTGTTACATTCGCGGGAGAGATGCTACCTTCGAGGGGGAGGTGTTACCTTCCAGGGGGAGGTGCTGCCTTTCAGGGGGAGGTGTAACCTTCCAGAGGGAGGTGCTTGCCTTTCAGGGGGAGGTGTTGCCTTTCAGGGGGAGGTGTTACCTTGAATGGCAGGTACGCATTCCGCGTCTTGATGTTGTACCGAGACGCATAGTTGATTGGAATACGCCGCTCTGCCTCCTGCTCGGTGGAAGGGATTAAGTTGTGGTGGTGGTGGGGGTGGTGGGGGTGGTAGGGGGAGTGGGAAGAACGGAGAAAAGAGGACGGGGAATTTGAATTGGTTGTATCGAGACACATAGTTGACGGGAATACGCCGCTCTGCTTCCTGCTTGGAGGGAAAGGGGTAGTGGATAGGGTAGAGGGTGGGAGGGGAAGGGGAGGAGAGGGTAGAAAGAGAGTAGAGGGTGAGATGGTGCATGGGGTTGGTTGTACCGTTATGCGTAGTTGATGGGGATGTGACACTCTGCCTCCTACTCGGAGGGAAGGGGGAAGTTGGAGCTGGTTGTAGCGGCACATAGTTGTTGGGAATGCGACTCCCCGCCTTCTGCTCAGAAGGCTGGCAGGCAGGCCGGCAGAGAGGCATAGAGCAGGAACCCACCTGCACCCATTCACACCCACCTGCACGTAGACAATCCCAAGGACGAGCAGCAGGAAGGAGGCCAGCAGCAGCGCCTCGCCGGTAACGTTCCCCTGCTCAGACGCCTCTGTGATGCAGGTAGGCAGGCAGGAGGAATATAGCACACCCATCCACACCCATCTGTACCGCACCCACCTGCACGTAGACGATGCCGAACACGAGCAGCAGGAAGGACGCGAGCAGCAGCGCCTCTCCGGTCACATTCCCTTGTTCAGAAGCCTCTGTGATCGTCCTCCCAATGGACGCCGGCAGGTAGGAAACGATATTGGTGAAGATGAGCAGAGAGGTGCCGTTGCCGAGCTTGAGATCAGTGATCTTGTCTCCCAGCAGGATGACTGCCACGGATCCCAAAGTGAGGCCCGAGACGGCGGAGACTGCCCAGGCGACCGACGGGTCGTAGGCGTACTGCTGTAGATATGCCACCTGTCCGATAGCCTGGGAGGAGGGCGAGAGGCAGGGAGGAAGGGAGAGCTTGAGGTGGGTGATCCTGTCTCCCAGGAGGATGACTGCCACGGATTCGACAGTCAGGCCTGAGACGGCTGAGACTGCCCAGGCGACCGAGGGGTCGTAGGCGTACTGCTGCAGATATGCCACCTGTCCGATTGCCTGGGAGGAGGGCGAGAGGCAGGGAGGAAGGGAGAGCTTGAGGTGGGTGATCCTGTCTCCCAGGAGGATGACTGCCACGGATCCGACAGTCAGGCCTGAGACGGCTGAGACTGCCCAAGCGACTGATGGGTCGTATGCGTACTGCTGCAGGTAGGCCACTTGGCCGATAGCCTGGGGAGTGGAGGGGGGCAGGGAGAAGGAGAGCTTGAGGTGGGTCGGTGATCTTGTCTCCCCGCAGTGGGGCGACTGAGGGGTCGTATGCGTACAACTGGAGGTAGGCCACTTGGCCTATGGCCTGGGGAGTGGAGGGGGAAGAATAGGGTGGGAAGCGGTGGGGTTGGGTTGAGGAGGGGCGACTGAGTGGTCGTATGCGTACTGCTGGAGGTAGGCCACTTGGCCGATAGCCTGTTGGCAGTGGAGGGGGGCAGGGAGAAGGAGAGCTTGAGGTGGGTCGGTGATCTTGTCTCCCCGCACGATGGACTGCTACGGACCCGAGGCGCTCGTAATCTAGTAAAGACAAGAAGAATGTAATGAAATCAGGTAACGTACCTGCAGGGCACCGAACGCCACAGCCATATACTTCATGTACTGCTGCGCTTTCTTCCTCCCCGCCTCCCCCTCCTTCTTCTGCAGATCCCCAATCTTAGGGTACAGCGTCCCCAGCAGCTGGAACACGATCTGAGCGTTGATATACGGCACGATGCCCAGCGAAAACAATCCCAGCCATCCAATCCCGCCCCCTGAGAGCGTGTCTAGGGTGGCCAGGAATGAGCCCTCCCCCAGTTGCTCCTGGAAGGCGGAGATATCGACGCCCCACAGGGGAATGTAGATTCCCACGCGGGATAGCGCGAGCAGACCCAGGAGCATGAGGAATTTCTTGGGTAAATCGCCCTTGAAAAAGTCGCCGATGTCGATCTTGCTGTCCTCCACTGGAAAGGTGGTGCGGGTCAGGTCAGGGGAGAGGTGGAAACGGGAGGCAGAGGGGGGAGAAAGAGGAGGGAGAACAAGGCAGAGAAAGGCAGAGAGATATAGTGGGAAGGCGGGGAGGAGGGATGAGGGAGAGATTGAAGCAGGGGAGGAAAAAAGGAAGAGGGAATTCGGTTTAGTCTTTTTTTTTTCCCTCGCCCCCCCAAGTCCCCCAAGTCCCCCCCCCCCTCCCCCCCACCCGGGGGGGGATGGAGGGTGGGGGAGAGGGGACAGGGGGGACGGGAGGGTGGGAGGAAAGGAATAACATTCTGATGTATGTATTGAAATAATATCACAATCAAGAATCACGGAATATTCTCTCAAATTCAAGCTAGAATCAGCCAACCAGGCTTTGTGACTGTGACTGTAATGAAGGTGGCTGTAATGAAGGCGACTCGACCCGGGGGTTACTGCAATGAAGGCGACTCGACTCGGGGGTGACTGCAATGAAGGCGACTCGACTCGGGGGTGACTGCAATGAAGGCGACTCGACTCGGGGGTGACTGCAATGAAGGCGACTCGACTCGGGGGTGACTGTAATGAATGCGACTCGACCCGGGATTGACTGTAATGAAGGCGACTCGACTCGCGGTCGGCGTGACTATAACCAAGTTCAGGGCGGCATGGCCAGCCTCCTGTCAAGAGAGCATGCCACGTCAGCACTTGTTGCCACGTCAGCAGGACCTGGGTTGAGGTAGGGCCTGGGTCCGGTTCGGGTATGGGCTGCCTCACGTCTCTGCCCCGGGCCTCACGTCTCTGCCCCGGGCCTCACATCTCTGCCCCGGGCCTCACGTCTCTGCCCCGGGCCTCACATCTCTGCCCCGGGCCTCACATCTCTGCCCCGGGCCTCACGTCTCTGCCCCGGGCCTCACGTCTCTGCCCCGGGCCACGTCCTGCCCCGGGCCTCACGTCTCTGCCCCGGGCCTCACATCTCTGCCCCGGGCCTCACACTCTGCCCCGGGCCTCACATCTCTGCCCCGGGCCTCACATCTCTGCCCCGGGCCTCAATACCTACCATAACCAACAAACACCACCTAACATTATCTACCACAGAAACATAACATAATCCTAAACAGCACCTAAGTAAGTTTGATGCATTTTTTGTGAACATTTCTAGACATTACTACGGTACGGGGAATCTTTATCGCACCTGCAATTCGTAGTGGCACCTGTGCAAGGTCCACGGGGGGGAGGGGCGGGAGAGAGAGGAGGACGAGAGGAGAAGAGGAAATGCGGGTCAGGGAGGTGCTATGAGGGGCAGGGCAGGGGGGTGATGATAGCAGCAAGCACTGCAATAAGAGCCGCAGCATAAGCAAGCAAAGCTCATTCCCCCCCACCTCCATGCGCATTTCCCCCCTGCACCGCCACACCACCCCACCCCACCCAACACACTCACCATGTCGTGGCCGGCAGTTGGTGAGCTCGATGGAGGTGGCGACTCCCTCCCCCGCCATCTCCCTGACATGGCGGAACGGACGGCACGAGCAAACGGGGCAAAGCATGGGCAAAGGGGGCAACGCATGAGCAGAGGGGGAAAGGCATGGGCAGGGAGAACGGCATGAGCAGAGGGGGAAAGGCATGGGCAGGGAGAACGGCATGAGCAGAGGGGGAAAGGCATGCGCAAGGCGGGAATGCATGGGAAAGGCGGAAAGGCATGCGCAAGGTGGAAAGGCATGCGCAAGGCGGAAAGGCATGCGCAAGGCGGAAAGGCATGGGGAAGGCGGAAAGGCATGGGGAAGGCGGAAATGCATGGGCAAGGCGGAAAGGCAGGGGAAAGGCGGACATGCATGCGCAAGGCGGAAAGGCATGGGAAAAGGGGGAACGGCGCGCTGACCTGCTCCGCGTGCAGCATGCTCGCCGGTGCTGTCCGCGCGGCCAGCAGCGCGCGCGGCGCTACCTGGTGAGCGCGGTGGGGCGCCGTCACGGCGGGTGGAGCGGCGGCGGGTAGGCGCTGCTACGCTGGAGCCTGTCGTCCCTGCACAGCAAGGGGAGGGAGGGGCAGAGGGAGAGCGGAGGAAGGGACGGAGGGAGAGAGCAACGAGAAACCAAGAAAGGCAAGAGGGGTTGAGGACTGAAGTGAACTGTTTGGAAAGAATGCTCACGTAGGAGAGAAATGGGAAACATAACGGGAATTCCAGGGAGAAAACAGATAAAGAGGACAAAACGAAATAAAGTAATAAAACAGTAGAACAAAACGGATTTTGCATGGCGCATGGCACACATGCAGTCGCATGGCGCACATGCAATCGCGTGCTCATGAAATTTCAGCGTGCGCACATGCAGTGACAGTGCGCACCTGCTGGAGGGAGGAATAAGGGCCCTCCCACAGTGCGGGAGGGATCCGCCGCCTATGTTGAATCCCATGGGGGAAGGAATTCGAAGTCTAATCGTGGGGAAGGCATTTAAGACCACTGATCGAGATGGGAGAGAAGGAATGGAGATCGGGAGAGCGGAAAAACGGAGACTAACGTGGAGACGAAATTAGGAGATGAGCTGCGACCGATATGGGAGAGAATGAGTGGATCGGGGGAGCGGAAGCTATGGAAAGTAACGTGGAAATAATGGAGTTGAGATCGAAATGGGATGGGGATGGGATTGGGAGAGAAGCAAGGAAGGAGGAGTGGAGGAGATCGGGAGAGGAGTTGGAGAGGAGAGCAAGCAAGCAGATTTTGTTGACTCTCAGCCACTGTAGCGCGAAATGAACCAGCACCCTCGCCTCGGTCACCAAAAACAGAAACGAATTGCAACTCTTCATACAAAAAAGGAACACTCCTCACCTGGAAACATGTAAACCTAAAACGAAAATAAGAGTGTACACCTAGAATCCACCTGCCCTGCACCAAAAAAAACGATGGTGGGGACCAAATCTCAGAATTCACACACATTGCAAACCAGTCGCGGAGCACAACACAAGCCTCCAATCCAAATCAAGTCGCTAAACACAAGTCGCGAAACATCCCACCGGTCCAATCAAACAGCACAAGCCATGCCAGCTAGCGCGGTCTGGGAAGTGACAGAAACGAGACTCGGATGATGTACAATCCAATATACAGTCATTGGTGCAGCGCTGGCGCGCTGCGCGATCCGCCTGGTGCCTGCAAACTTACTTTCTTATCAATCTATTCCCATGTACATGGGAATAGATTGATAAGAATTGTAAGTTTGCATTTTCCTGGTTTATGTTTTCCTTCACGATGCATGCATTGTTATAAGCAAATATTCCAGAAAACAAGTGGGCTGACCCTGGTGTTGGTTGGTACATCTGCAGCAAAATCTTAGGCTAGCTAGTTCCTAGCTACCTATTTTTTAGCTATCTATTTGCTAGCTACCTAATTCCTGGCTAGTTATAGCCTGGCCTTGCCAATTCCTAGCTAGCCAATTTCTGGCCTGCCAAACTCCTTGCTAACTCCTAGCCAATTCCTAGCTTGCTATTTCCTAGCTAGTAGCTAGTTAATTCCTAGCCAGCCAAATCATAGCTGGTAACTAGTTTCCTAGCCAGCCACATCCTAGCAAGCTAATCCCTAGCTAGCTGCCGTAATTCCTAGTCAAACCAAATCCTAACTACCGTAGCTAATTTGTAGATAGTTTACTACTCCTTGGCTAACATACGAGAAAGGGCATCTGCGAGGGGGCGTGTTCCGGCTCGTCTGTACGGCGGTAACACGATTGGATGTATCAGGGATGTGTCAGGAAGATGCTTCCTTGTGTCACACTCATTGTGGAGTGTATGAAAAGACTGACGTTGCAAGATAATGACACCATCTCAAATCGACACGCAACAGGGCCTGGCCTGCAATCGTGCCAACCAAGCGATGGCCCGATAACAAAACAGAGACTCAAAAGCTTGAAGCAATCTAATTCAGTAACGCACCACTCCATGCGCTTGACATTGATGTCATTCAACACAGAAACCTTGGTCGTCACGATGCAAGTGGTGTAACACTCTATCATGCAGTTGCTTGAACCTAGTTTCACATCAACACGAAGCCACAAGGTACTTTATACGATACCTTGTGCACACCGATGCTGCTCTACTCTAAATATCCAGCCTCAGCATTCACCTATGGAGGCGGAATCCCTCCACCACCCGCACTGATATCATCCAGCTCAATCGTCCTATACTTCTGCGAAACCAGCTCCCGCCTGCACCTTCCTGGCTGTATCGGTAGCGCATCCGACTAAAATGAGGATGGACGTTCCAGCAAACCCCCGGAAGGCCGTGAGGTGAGTGATTCCTTCCACAAGAGCCGGCGCTTGCTGCCATCGTGCCGAGAAACCGCCGACCCGAGCACCGAAATGCGGGTGAGGACCTGGTGTTAAGTAGTTAAAGAAGCAAGAGTAATGGGGAGAAAGGAGAAGGGGATGGGAGGGGGAAGGAGAAGCCAAAGAGGGAAAGGAAACACGAGTGGGGAAAAGGGCTGAGAGGGAGCCGGCCCAGGAGTTCATCATGGAGTGTTTTGCGAGGCCAAACGGAGCTTGGTGATGAGCATGGCTGCTGCCTTGCCAGGCCTGGTGTAGGCCACAGACGCGCCCTGCCTCTTGAGAAAGTGGGCCGTATGCCGGATTTACGAACGTACAATGAGTGAACAAGGGCGACTCAACCTTGGTGATGAGTGGCGGCTTTTGCTTTGCCGGGCCTCGTGTTGGGTACGGACGCAAACCCTGCCGCTTGAGCTGGTCGCTGACATCAGCAGGGTCGAGTTGCAGGAAGGTGTAGAAGTAGTTGAAGAAGGCAATGAGTGCCACGTTGCGGGGGAGGTAGAAGAAACCTGGGATTAGCGGAACACATGGGGAGAGAGGATGTTGATTGAAGATGCAAGGAGAAAGAAAGGAGAAGGAGCGAGTAAGTGAGTTGCAGGAAGTGTAGAAGTAGTTGAGAAAGGCGGAACAGTGGCCACGTTAGCAGGCAGATAGAAGAAACCTGGAGATTAGCGGAACACATGGGGAGAGAGGATGTTTGATTGAAAGATGCAAGGAGAAAGAAAGGAGAAGGAGCGAGTAAGTGAGTTGCAGGAAGGTGTGAAGTAGTTGAGAAAGGCGAACAGTGCCACGTTAGCAGGCAGATAGAAGAAACCTGGAGATTAGCGGAACACATGGGGAGAGAGGATGTTGATTGAAGATGCAAGGAGAAAGAAAGGAGAAGGAGCGAGTAAGTGAGAGTGCAGGAAGGTGTGGAAGTGTTGAAGAATGCAATCAGTGCCACGTTGGCGGGGAGGTAGAAGAAACCTGGGGATGAGTGGAGCAGGGAAATCAAAGGGAGTGGAGGAGGGGAGAGGGAGCAGGGAGAGGAGTGAGTGAGTTGCAGGAAGGTGTAGAAGTAGTTGAAGAATGCGATGAGTGCCACGTTGGCAGGCGGGTAGAGGAGACGTGGGGATTAGTGGAACACATGGTGGTAAAAAGAGTGAGAGGATGACGGAAAAGCAGAGTGATAAATTTGCAGTAAGGTGTAGAAGTAGTTGAGAAAAGCGATCAGTGCCACGTTGGCAGGCAGATAGATCGGTAAAGCGAGCTATGGAGTAGGGAGCAGGAGCAGTCTGGTTACCCTATTACTGACCTGTGGTTACCATGTAACATACCTCCAGGGTAGAGAGCGTAGCAGCGGACTGGAAAGCAGCACTTCCGGTAAAGCGAGCGATGAGTAGGGAGCAGCGAGAGCGAGGAAGAGAAGATAATTGGCATGACTCCCGTTGAGTTGACCTGCAGAGGGGGGAAGAGGAAGAGACGGGTAGAGGGTAGATGAGAAAGATGTTGATCCGAGAGGGTGGAACATAAGAAAGACAAAGGAGAGAGGAGGAGGAAGACGATTGGCATGACTTTCGTTGAGTTGACCTGGGGTGGGGATAGAGAGGTTGGATAAGAGAAAAGAGGTGGTTGTGAGAGAGGGGTGGTTGGAGAGAATGGGTAGATGAGAGAGAAAGGAACGGCAGATAATTGAGAAGAGAGGAAGTAAACGTGAGGCATGGCTTCTGTTGAGGGAGTGTGGGGGTTGGTGGGGGGGGGGGGGGGAGAAGGGTGGAGTGAGTGAGGGGTCGATGCAAGAAAAAGAAAGGGTGTGTTACATTCGCGGGAGAGATGCTACCTTCGAGGGGGAGGTGTTACCTTCCAGGGGAGGTGCTGCCTTCAGGGGGAGGTGTAACCTTCCAGAGGGAGGTGCTGCCTTTCAGGGGAGGTGTTGCCTTTCAGGGGGGAGGTGTTACCTTGAATGGCAGGTACGCATTCCGCGTCTTGATGTTGTACGAGACGCATAGTTGATTGAATACGCTCGCTCTGCCTCCTGCTCGGTGGAAGGGATTAAGTTGTGGTGGTGGTGTGGGGGGGTGGTAGGGGGAGTGGAAGAACGGAGGAAAAGAGGACGGGGAATTTGGAATTGGTTGTATCGAGACACATAGTTGACGGGAATACGCCGCTCTGCTTCCTGCTTGGAGGGAAAGGGGTAGTGATAGGGTAGAGGGTGGGAGGGGAAGGGGATGGAGGGGTAGAAAGAGAGTAGAGGGTGAGATGGTGCATGGGGTTGGTTGTACCGTTTTATGCGTAGTTGATGGGGATGTGACACTCTGCCTCCTACTCGGAGGGAAGGGGGAAGTTGGAGCTGGTTGTAGCGGCACATAGTTGTTGGGGAATGCGACTCCCCGCCCTTCTGCTCAGAAGGCTGGCAGGCAGGCCGGCAGAGAGGCATAGAGCAGGAACCCACCTGCACCCATTCACACCCACCTGCACGTAGACAATCCCAAGGACGAGCAGCAGGAAGGAGGCCAGCAGCAGCGCCTCGCCGGTAACGTTCCCCTGCTCAGACGCCCTCTGTGATGCAGGTAGGCAGGCA